AATTCATCATTCTTACCGTCCCCATGGTAAGCTTAATAAACAGGCCTACTTACGGCGTGTGATGAGAGGTTGAAAAAGCCACACACTGCAGCACGCAGGCGCACAGTGACAAAAAAACAAAACAAAATGTTTGAATCAAAATGGAGATCAAATTGCACAATGACAATAAATATTATAGATTGCACCACAAAACACAGTAAAACTGAAGGAGCCTGATGTAAAAATGTAAGGAGTAGAAAGTAAAGATATTTCTGTAAAACTGTAAGAAGTTGTCTGAAAAATAAGCAGTTGAGTAAATACTGATACCAGACAAATCTAGCCTACTTAAGTACACTAACTAAGTATTTGTAAAATTTTGTTACTTCCCATCTCTGTAAAAGAATTAATATATATACACAACAATTGTGTCTGGTTCTTAAACCTGATTGGTTGATAGCCATGTGATAATCTGCCAGTAACAGCACTCGTATCGCCTCTTCACATTTCGACAAATATTGCAGCTGTTGGACAACTTAATGTACTTTTGAGGCTTTTTAGTCGAGAATGTGGTTGTTTAGATTACAATTATGCAGTTTATTTATAAGGATCCTGCCTATTTTAAAAATGTATAATTTCTGAGAGACATCGTGTTGGTGGCCATTAGATCAAAGACGGTGAGTATGGTAAAGCAACATTATGAAGCTGCAGGCCTGGAGACACAACTGCACACTCAGAACTATCCTTTTCTCAGACATTGCCATCTGCTTACACTATTTATCCAGCCTGATCTCACCAGACAACGTAAGCATTTTACGTTTTGTCAGTTAAGTGGCTAATTCATGAGTTCAGTCATACAAAACTGTACAATTTTTAAAAGGAGGCATATGACACCCAACCTCACTCCTAAACTCAGGCGCGACCCTAACCAATTTGGCACCCTAGGCAAGATTTCAGATGGCGCCCCGTCACATTGCAGTAAACTCCACTGCTAGTGCAAAGTCTTAAATAGCTTTTTGACCGACTACTACAAGCTGGGAAAACGTCAGATAAATATGCCAATGCAATTAACGTCATTGCTGAATAGATCTAATATTTACACATTTGCTTGAGGAAGGAATGATGGGGGTAGTTACATTACTATTATTACTATTTTCTATAACATCCTTCCATAACATTGGCGGACGTTAAAACTAACAGATAGCACTATAGCTATTTATTGATTAGCAATCTGTCAACGTTGGGATGTAAAAATTATGGGACAACAAATAGCTTCAAATGATAGAATACATAGCAAACATTAGAAAATATTGACAATAAAATAAAAAGTTTAGCCTATTAAAATTAATGGCCTTTACTGAAATTAAATAAAATTTTAAAATCTATTTCACTTTTAATTGTATTTGATTATCGATTAAAGTTCCTATAGTTATTTCAAGAGTTCACACTTAGCTGATGATTGAAAATAAAGCTAGTTTGGCGTGCTGTCCCTGAGCTTATAAGATCCTCGAGCCCTGGGCTCCCTCCCATTGCAAGGCGAGAGGGGAGTTTGAGCTTAGGTAGATCTCGATGCCTCCCCCTCTTGATTGTTGTAGCTAAGTGTCAGATATGGATGCTGAAAGGTGTACTCAGAGTTTAGCTAAGGTATTTGGATTAATTGTTTAGAGTGCTTGTTTTTAAACTGTGGAGGGAACCGGAGGACCCGGGGAAAACCCACGCGAGTATGGGGAGAACGAGCAAACTCCGCACAGAAATATCGTCTGGTTTGGAATTAAACCAGGGGCATTCTTGCTGTGAGGCAACATCGCTAATCGCTGGCCACCGTGGCGCCCGTTTGAAAGAAGGGAAAGTAGGGTTGGGTATGAGGGTTTCTTCAAGACAAAGATATTGAGATGAGAAAAGTTTGGTTATTTATAGTGAGTTAAGGATCGTCTGATAGGATAATCAGTCGTTAGCTAAATTTGGAACAGCTGTGAACAATCATAAGCACGTGATCCTCTCGGAATTTGTTTATAAATAAACTTCACTTAGTGAAGAGCAGGAAATGATTCTCTCATTGTGGTTGTTTGATAACAAAGGTGTTAATGTAAGAATGCACAGATCTATAATGAAAGCATCCGACTAATTTAGTGTGTGTTTGTGCTCATTTAAGAGAAAATTAGTTGTGTTTAAAATAAAAAAGGAGGGAGAAAAAAAATGAATAAAAGAAGCACTTTTCCGACAGTCCCTTACTGAGAGCTTCTGTCAGCGCGAGCTCTCCGGCTAAACGCATATTGCGAGGGCAGAGGTCGTGAAAACGTGAAACTGTGAAACATAATCAGCTTTGTCTTTTTGTAGGAAACACACTTTAGATGTTTTTAGAGTAAGAGGTTTTTGAATTATTGCCGTCTATCACTGATTGTGTCAGGAATATGGAAAACAAAACCAACTTAACCGCGCTCATTTCTGGCACCCCCCTGGATGTACAGCTCCCTTAGCATTTGCCTATACTGAATATATATGACACGGGCCGGCCCTGCCTAAACCCAATCTTCATTAAGGGATAAGCAAATCTTACTAAATTGTACAAGTTAGATTGTTTGAATTCATACAAATTAGACACTAAATGAAAAAGTTATATGAATTGTCGTGAGATGGTGTTAATTTTTCTACTTTAAAATATTACGCTGATTGAATACATTATTAGATGAAATATTAAACTCACTAGAATATGATGTAATAGATTAATTCTGTTGTATTTTTATCAATTGTATTTGTGAACAGATATTGTTCAGTTACCTAAATATTTTCAGTCATTTCTAGTTTTTGTTAACTGTAAGGATTTATCACACTGTTTAGTATTGAGTTGAGGGAAGGAATATTATCTCTTTCTTCACGTTCAATAACTTATAGTACTCAGAGTAATTTTCTCACAACAAACATTATTTTTGTGTACTTTTTCATGAGGTCCTACAAGTCACCGAGCTGTAAACAATGCAGAGAAAAATAATAATTGGATTAATAATTATTCATTATGTAGAAAATAACATCAAATGAAATAAATGCTTTACATTCTTGTTGATTTTTTTTTTCATTTCTAGAGAAAAAAATACTAAAAATATCGGCAGCATTTGGTGCACTATATTAGTGACACACAAGTCACAAGCAAATCAATTTTCCTTTAACCTGAGAGCTCATGTTGTAAAAGCGTGCTGGTCTGAGCGTGCAGCTTCATAATGTTGGAGGAGACGGTTGACGTTGTCCATCAACGAGATGGTGACAGAGACCGCATTATAAGGCTTTGGAGGAGGAGGAAAAAGCCAGCATCATTTTAAACTACAGCTGATCAAATCATTATAAAACTGGTAAATGACTTTCTAAGTCTCTCTCGTTTGCAGTGTTAAGTAAGCTATTTGAAAAATTTAGTGAGCTAAGCTATTAGCTACTCTACTCAAAATATAGCTTAACTACACTAAAAGCTACCCTCTGGGAAATGTAGCAAGCTGAGCTAAAAGTAGCTTAGCAAGAGTAGCTTATAGCTACATCTAAGCTATTTTTGCAATTTTCATTTTTAAATCGAAGCAACTTAAATAAAAGTCGAACATGTCTTAGTGATTAATAAAACTGTCAAAATATGAGGCATAATTGTTTAGTTCAATTATTAACTGCAAAAAATATGCTGTTCTGGGCGTCACAGTGGCGCAGTGGTTAGCACGATCGCCATACAGCAAGAAGGTTGCTGGTTCAAGCCCAGGCTGGGTTAGTTGGCATTTCTGTGTGGAGTTTGCTTGTTCTCTCCGTGTTGCAGCTGAAAGGGCATCTGCTGCGTAAAACATATGCTGGATAAATTGGCGGTTCATACCCCTGATTAATAAAGGGACTAAGCTGAAAAGAAAATGAATGAAGAATATAATGTTCAGAATAGAAAGAAATGACAGTAAATAACAGCTAAAACAAAATAATGCAATAAAATGAGGTGTTAAAATATTATAGTAATTCATAGTAAAGGGAAATATTTAGGAATAAGCATTATATTGAAAATATATTTACAACTCTTCGTTAATGAATTACACAACATAATGTCGTACAGGGATGGGCAGTATTTATGATACATGTATTTAGTATTTTGTCATTTGTAATTTTTGGGTTTATGAAAATTGGTTAATATTTTGTATCAAACACTTTGGTGTTTTGTATTTTTGTATTTTAAAATACTGTAAAATACTTTGTAAGAAGTCTACATGATGACATCATAAAATCGGTTTGATTTTTAATGATTTTTCTAATATGACCGTACAGTAAAAAACACTGTATTTTCCATGATTTTAGCGCACTATTATTAAAATACGCAAAAGTAATATGATATGAAAAGTGAGCAGAGTGGTACATCAGGACATGTAGAACAATAATCTGGTGGAGTTGGCAGAAAACAATTTGATTTATTTTTTTAGGAGTTTTCCAAATATGATTGGATAAAAAAAGTCAGTATTTTACATGATTTTGGTATGTTATTATTTAAATTTGATTTAAGTAAGGAAAATAAACATATGTAAAATATTAATTTAATTAATTTTCAATAATTTTGCACCATTCTACATGAAAAAAACAAAAAGAAAAAAAAACACAAATAAACCAATAAAACAATCATCATAATTACACAGTAAACACCTAAATAGTAGATTGTGAATACGAAAACTAAATTTAATAGTTATGACAGCCGGGTATTGACTTTAATACTATTAATGTTGATTTAAACTCGTAAATAAAACACAATTACAGCTAAACAAAGAAATAGTAGCCTACATGCAAAGTCATGATTATTATATATCCAAACATAAATACAAGTGACGATTTTTGATTTTCTCTGATTTGAATTAATTTAAGCGAATTAAACTGAAACACGATTATAAAAGTGCAGCGCATTAAACACACACGTCTTTAATCTACTGCGCAACACCGAGTGTGACCGTTCGTAGGAGCCAAAAACCTTTTCCGGTCTTTTTTTTCCTCTTAGAAGTTTCCAAATAAAGCTCGTCCCAGGCACAGACCGACTCTGAGTCCAGCCAGCAGTGACTGACTCCCCGGAGCTCAACGCGATGCTGAAATCGATGATATTGTGTCTCTGTGTGGGTTTAGCAGTGGGCAGTTCAGTTCACCGAGGCGCGCATCTGGACATCAGCGATACCCTGGAGGAGCATGTGGCTCACGGACAAACCACTTTAAACGAGATGTTCAGAGAGGTGGAGAAACTGATGGAGGACACACAGCACAAGCTCGAGGAGGCTGTGCATCAGGTATGACCAGAGAAAATATTATATGCGAGTAGATAACTTAATTTAATTTTGTTTTCTTTTACGCATACTTCACTGTAAACCCAGCAGTCAGCTTGATCAAATGAAATGAGTGTTGTTAACTCAAAATTGACTGAAAGTTAATTCTACTCATTTGAAAAGAGTTTTGAACTCAGTGTTTAAGGTAATGATGTAATTAAATAGTTCATTACTTCAACTTAAATAGAGTAAGTTCGCAGTACTCATATAGAAAAGTTTTTTACTCAAATAGTTTGTAGTAATCGATTGCATCAATTAAGTTGCCTTAACTTATTGGGATTTAAAGTACTCAGTTGGTTCTCTTCATTGATTGGGTTTTACTGTGGTCAATTTGCTTCGTTTACTCAAATGGATTAAGTTTACAGTACTCATTAAGGCTAGTTTTAGAACTTAAATGGTTTGTTGCAATCAGTTTACTCAAATGGTTTGAGTTGCCTTAACTTTTTGGGTTTTTACAGAGCAGTTTACAAGCTTTTGTTATCATATTGTTCTGGGAATGTTAGTTTCTGGTTTTGTGAAAACTCTCAGTTGTTGGTTAGCAAGGGAAGTTCTCTTTACGTTCTCTTTCTGTAAGGAGAAATTTCTCTTTCAAGTTCTCGTTTGGTTGTTACAAAACAACCATTCTGCAAGTTTCCAGCAAGAGCCTACAAATAACTTTCTTATTTAGTTCCCAAAAAATATCCAAATAGGAGCCATATGAAACGTTAGAGGAATGTTCTCCATTTGTTCTTAATAGTATTTGTTTTTAATTGTTTCTAAATTTACTGTACATTTCTAATGAGTTTATTTCTGCAACAAATTAAACTAAGGCACTGGAAAAAAAAATCAAGAATTTGTTATTTATTTGTCAAAATCATAGCCTGCAGTCTGACGTAGGCATGGGTCTGTGTAAGATTGTGATGGTAAGATAACCTTAGATAAAAATATCACAGTTTCACAGTATTGTGATTACATTGTGATTTCAGAAACACATTTCTTTACAGTTTAAACCAGCATCTTTTGATATCTTTTCTGCTGGAGATACTGTTGTCCTAAAAAACTAAAACAAAAAACATAAATGAAAAAATTCTTACACATACCTTAGGAACCGTATACCAGTAAGTTTTGGCGGTTTTTTTACTTTTCCAAACCACGATATACATTGAAAATGGTTATCGTCCCATGCCTAGTCTGACGTGTTTGGGAAGCAGCTCTTTAAAATGAACTCAAAATGTTCCTAATATGAATATTATTTGATAAATATGCACAATCAGATGGAGAACGAGACTACAAACTCACTGTTAAATGGACGCGACTTTCCAGACAACTTTCACGATGAAACTACGACAGAAATTAAGTTGGGGAATCGAACCATTCAGCTGATAGAGAGAATCAACAAGGTATTACTTATCTTTGTTGTATTGTATTGTATTTCATTTATTTTATTTTGCACCATATTGACATTAACAGAACCTGGTTTTCCTTTAGAAAACGGACAATAAAACCGGGAAGACTCATTTTTCCAGAACTCTCATTCAGAACACTGAACGGTGGAATGAAGTAGATCATGTGAGTACACTTTACCTTCATATCTCCTACACTATGAAACCATTAAGTAGGATAGTTCAGCCAAAAAAAAAAGAAAATTTACTGACTATTTACTCTCCCTCAAGTGGTTCCAAAACTTTGAGTTTCTTTATTCTGTTGAATACTAAAGAAGATATATTGAAAAACCTGAAAACCTGTAATCATTGACATCCATAAAATAAGCCAAATGGAAGTCAATGATTACAAGTTTTCAGCATTCTTAAAAATATTTTGTTTTGAGTTCAATAGAATTTTTAAATAGTAAAGGTGGAATAAATGATGACAGAATGTGCAGTTTTATGTGAACTATCCCTTTAATCACTTAAAAATGAACCTTATTAAACAGAGATCAGGCCTTCCAGTAAGTAAACAGCAAGTGTCCAGATGCTTTGGTCACTTTGGGCAGTTTAATGAACCCTGCAGTGAGTTTGCCGGGAACTTGGCAACCTGAGTTTAGAAAGCAGAGTTTACTTATTAAAACCAACATGAATTTTCCACCTCAGTCGCCATCAAGCTAGGACCCAGTGTTAAATGGGAAAAATGCGGCACATCAGTTCGGACTTTATAAACATGGTGATTTCTTGTAAACCATTTGATAAAGTAGATGTGGGACAGATGGTACATTTCAGTCCTCTCTCCACTCCTGTTGCACTGCCGATATGGTGAAAACACACTTAAATAAGCTTTTAAATCTTATAAGTGTTGCTACGTGCAATTTTTGACTTCTTTAATTTTATTTGTTAACTAATAATTCTGTTTAATAACTTTTGATTGATATAAATCGTCAACTACCATATGGTAAAAGCTGACTACTGTATGCAAACAGATTTCCATTACAGTCTTACAGACGGCAATGTCATTAAAGGCTTGTTCAGGCCGTCGTCTGGCACCATGACAATATAGGGTGAAATTAGAGCGGCTGGAAAAAATGCACGGAAAGTGTTGCAGTGGGAGTGTGTGGTCGGGACTTGATGCCAGCTGCTGTGTTGCCATGAAGTAGCTTTTAGTGGTTTCTTTGCCATTTTGTACAATGGTAACTCTGAGCTCACAGTTAAAAAATAAGTGAGGGTAATGGAGAGGAATTACAGCCTATTAATGCGGAAAAAAACCAATAGATGTGTGCAATCTATACATTGTACTATAAATGACAGTATTGTTTACCAAATAAAAAGCGTGCGTGTGTATGTGTGTATAAATTAACATAAATATTCAACTGTAATTACATAAAATAATTACATTTAAGCACAGACACATATATACATATGTGTGTGTGTATATAACATTTTTCCAATCTTCTATTGTCCAATTTTGGTGAGCCTGTGCGAATTGTAGCCTCAGTTTCCTGTTCTTATCTGGCACTCTGTGTGGTCTTCTGCTACTGTAGCACATCCGCCACAAGGTTGGACGTGGTGTCCATTCAGAGATGATCTTCTGCATACCTTGGTTGTAACGACCTCTGGCATCAACAAGGCATTTGTGCACAAAGAACTGCCGCTTACTCGATATTTTCTCTTTTTTTGACCATTCTCTGTTAACCCTAAAAATGGTTGTGCGTGAAAATCCTAGTAGATCAGCAGTTTCTGAAATATTTAGACCAGCCCTTCTGGCACCAACGCTCAGTCACTTAAATCACCTTTCTTCCCCATTCTGATGCTCGGTTTGAACTGCAGCAGATCGTCTTGACCGAAATGATTTTCTGATTAGACATTTGCATTAATGAGTTGTTGCACAGGTGTACCTAATAAAGTGGCCGGTAAGTGTATGTAAATATGTTTATGTATTTAAAATTTAACTTACAATAAAAACAACAACAAATATTGTATATGAGCATATTGCATAAACATCACACATGATGATGTTTATTATTATTTTCATTTATTTTTTACAAATGTGTATATAAATATATATATATATTTCTACACGGGTCTCAGATTCCCATTCATTGAGTTTTTTTTTGTCCGTAAGGAATTGCCGATTTTTTTTTGTCATTCGAGTCATGGGTAATGGACTCATGGCTCACATTAGTCTAGACTGCAGACTCTGTAACTCTGGGGGAAGGGGACCACTTTGGCTTTGTCTTTAGCTTTGATGTCAGCTGCTGTGTGGTAGGTGCCTGCAACTGCTCCCACAGGCAAGAAGCACTGAGATACATTACTGCACCTCCACTTCTGTAAATGTGGAATTAATTATGACATCATCAGACTTTTAAAAAATGACTCCTGTCTGCCTGTATCAAACCGCATAGCAGTTTGGGGCTATTCTTTATCCCGTTTATTTGTAAATATTTTCAGCAGAGTGGAAAGTTTTAGCATATTACTTTTTTTCCCTCCTATTCCTCAGGCTAATGGGTCACAATATTTCCATCCTAACAATTTCCACTGTCTCTAACAAGATAAAAGCATACAAAAGACTGGTTTAAATAGTATATTATTAAAAGTGCTCTAAGGCGGATGTTCCAGAAAACACAAATGTGTTTTTCAGTAATGTAGGTGGGAGTTTCTTCGAGTCCCCAACTGAATTTCTGTCTGGGAGGTGAAACACCTCGTTGGAATTTCCGGAGCTGAGGTCCAAAACAAAACTCAACATTACAGTAGTTCAGGGACAATGCTGTAAGAAGCTTAAAGGAGAAAGGCCCCCAGAAATGAAGATATCTCATTTACACTATCTTTACTCCAGTGGTGTAAAGTAACAAATTACAAATACTCAAATTACTGTAATTAAGTAGTTTTTTATCAGACATTGTACTGTACTAAGTAGTTTTAAAAATGTGTACTTGTAATTCTCTTGAGTACATTTTTAGTGCAGTATCACTACTTTTACTCCACTACTTTCCTTCAACATGCAATCAATACTGTATTTTTTCTTGTCTATGGGGATTATAAAAATCAGTTCTGTGATTCCCGTCCAATCGAAACGCACATAGAAGATATTGCATCATAATGAACTACCTCAAGACATGGGCAATTTGCAAATGCAGCAAACCATTTGGAACCATTAAAAGTGTCTAAGAAGATGTCCAAAATCTTTATATGCATTGACTGTTTAGATGTATGTCACTGATGAGAAGATGACGGATGTTTACTGTATGATGAACGAAATAGCCTTAAAAACCCAGCAGGCACAAGATGTCAACATGACATCAGATTATTATGTTTGGAAATGAAAATCAGGTTGTAGTCAGAACTCAACGTCAGGTCGACGTCAATGTCAAATGTCTGACCTAAAAATCAACCAAATATCAACATCTGATGATGTTACAGCTTGATGTTGTATGGACGTTATTACTATGACGTCTATCAGATGTTGGATTTTGGTTGCCATACCTGACGAAAAAATGTCAGTATTTGACATCAATATAACGTTTGCTTATGATACAAAAGACATGTCACTCGTTTATTTTTGAATGGGGAAAAGTGTAACTGTCAATATGGCGAATGAAGCCCTGCCTTCTAGTACAGGAGCCAATCAGCGATCACTATATGGTGAATAAATCCAGCCTTCCAGTACAGTAGCCAATCAGCCAGCGATATATAGAATGACAATTCTCGGGGGGAGGGGCTTAGACCAGACTTGAGTTTCTGCCGATTTTGTGCAAAACGAACATTTAATGAAATGAAACTAAATAGACAGTTTTTGTTTATTTTATAGTTTATTCATAATATGAAATGTAATTGAGAGCTTTTGATGTTCCCCCATTCAAACAGAATGCCCAAGCATACAGCCTGAGAGGCGTTTTAAAGATGGCCGCAGAGTGAAATGACTTGCCTTTAAGGGACTTTAGTATAACACAGAAAAAGTGATTAAATATTTAAGCTTAGTTTTAAGCACATTCACCATGTTTATAGTTTTTTAACACACATTTGTAGTTTTAATCAAATTCACGTCCAACACGTGTATTGTGGGCAATATTGCCGTTTAAAGCAGAGATGCCCAAACCAGATTCCGTGGGCCAAAGTTGGCCCGTTGTAATCTTTAATTTGGCTTTTATAAACTAAAATAAAATGTTTAATTTAAATGTTAATTTTAAATACATAAATACTTTGTAAAAATGTAAATACTGTCATTTGACAGATGGAAGTTAGGTGCAGCTTGACTAGCGTATCTCCATTCTGTTATAAATGAGATCGTTTTTACTTTAATAAGTTCATTATAAAAACATGAATAAGTATACTGCATTAGTTAATACAAAGCAACGTTTAGTTATTACTTAATATTATTAAATAAATTAGGAAGCACCCATGGCAGACATATTTACCTTCAGCCCACTAGCCTCAATCTAGATTGGTTTTTGGCCCATCATAAGAAAAATTTAGGGCACCCCTGGTTTAGAGTAGGGATTGTTCTACACTTCAAATTTCTACCAGAATAACGAACCATCTGGGAACCTGTGGGATACTCTTTTTAACATACTACAGTTTGGGTAAATTAATCCTATTTCTGAATACTATTTAGGACGGATAGTATGCAAATTTAGGATGCAGCATATGATATCCATTCTTCATTCTTGTACATTTTCAATAGCAAATGTTTAGCAGAATGTCCATGCTGCTCTTTATTCCATCCAATAACAGTAAATGAAGCTACTTAGTACTGCCTGCCATTGTTAGAAAGCTGAAGTCACCTCTGGGAGATTATTTATCGCTGGAGATTACACAGAGGAATATCATATCCTGAAAACATACTACAGCCTAAATAAGGGCCCTTAGAATGTTTTCTGAACCAGAACAGGGGTTGTGTTATAATCATGTTGTGTATAATATCAGTTTTATAGACTATTTTTGAGGGATGTAAACAAAAACAATGGTCCTTCTGACCTGTTTCCTGTTTTACATTTTAAATTTCCATAGCTTTTGTGAGTTCAAAAAGTTCCATATATTGATAAACAATGTTATAATAGCTGTTATAAGACCAAGTTATGATTGAATCGCCTCTTGTTACACATGTGAAATAGTTTGACAATAAGCAGGAAATGTTCATGGGCCAATGGCATCACCACATTAAGATTGCTCTATTCTTGTTCACTCAGGAGTGTATGATTGATGAAGACTGCGGAGATGGAAGTTTCTGTCTGTATGAGATTGTCACCTCCAAATGTGTCCCGTGCCAGACAACTAATATGGTCGGTGTTTACTTTTTTGTCTGTCTACATATCTGTCTGTCTATCTTTTGTTCTAGCTGTAACATTTACAGTAGGTTCAAGATGAATACAACAGTCAAAAAGGATCAAGTAACAGCTAATCATAAATGAACTAAACAAATGAGAGGAATCCAATAAGACAAAGCACAATGAAACAGGGTCATAATCACACACAAAAACACCAGACAAAGGAGATTGAAAGCTAACTGAAGAACATAAAATAATGAACTAAATCAATAACAGATGAGAGAACTCAAACAAGGAGTAACTATGATGATAAATGAAATAAAAACAGGGTAAAAGCAATACAATGACATCAAAATTCAGGTCTCTAGTGTTGTGGTACTGTAAGCCATGTTCATGCAGGAGTGGTGCTGACAGAATGGCCTTGACAAACCGTTTAGCATAGGGATGGGCAAACTAGGTCCTGGAGGGCCACTGTACTGCAGAGTTTAGCTCCAACCCTAATCACACACCTGCCTGTTGCTTTCTAGAGATCTTGAAGACACCTTTTAGCTTGTTCAGGTGTTTCAATAATTTTGGAGCAAAATTCTGCAGGACAGTTGCCATCCAGAACTGAATATGCCCATTCCTGGTTTAGGGGCTGTTCACATGTCATGTGAAATCCATGTGGAAAATGCAAGTTGCGCTACTTCCGTCACCTATTTCAACGTTCTGCCATGCCGTCTGTCAGTGCCAAGCAACGCTATCACAGTGGAACCACAGCCACCATTGACAGACCCTTACTGCAGCTTTGATACAGGTTTTAGAAAGCAGTAATTAAACTACATCTAAAACATTTGGGCAGAAATAATTGGTCACTTTTAAACAATAAAAGTACAGCGCAAGGGTGTCAAACTCCTCCTTCCTGGAGGGCCGCAGCTCTGCACATTTTAGGATTAGCCCTAATTTAACTCAGATTATCAGACTAATTGAGTCCTTCAAACTTGTTTGAAACCTACAGGTAAGTGTGCTGAAGTGTGCCGGAACTAAACTCTGCAGAGTTTGACACCCCTGGTACAATGCATTTAATCGATACAGATGTTAGGTGTTTAAATGCCTTAATTAGATGTTTAGATGTAAATGCCAATTGTATTTGACGCATCACTTTTAAACCTATGTATTAACGTTTTTATTATTAATCCACCAACCAAATCAGGTAATCTTCCCATCTCTTCCATCCATCTATCTTTATTTCAAATAAATTCAAGTTTATTCATATAGAGCAATTATTACAACAATTATTATTAAAGGTGCACATTAGCATTACAATCACATTCTGAAAAATGAAGGTTGTTAATTACCACAGCTTTAGGCCAGACGGAATCTGCGGACATTTTTTGCTGTTTCTTTTCAGAATTTTGTTAAAAATCTGCGGATTTATGTGGAATGATTTTGGGAGTATTACAACTAAAACCTTAATGTATGAACTAAAAAATAATATCTTTTTAGCTTGTATTTAATGTTTACAATGCAAATCCAATTAGATCCACTTTATTTGGTAACAAAGCAAGTCTTCTATATAATATCTCTACTAAAAGACAGAAAATATTACTTAAACTATATTGTAAATAAATTATATGAATATTTTTATATTAGTCAATAATATTACTGAAAATGTGCAGAATTCTGTGTGCGCAGATTGCGTGTGGGCCTACTAACAACTTTGACTAACTAGTAACTAATAGTTTTTAACAGTTAAAGTTATAATATATAAACATAGTTAACATGCAGTTATGTAGTATATAGGTGATGTCTATGTGTACATGTTTAATTAAGTCCTGAAGTATTTACGTCTGTCTGTGAATAGTTATTATATATATTTATTTATTTATTTTTTGCTCAGTTGCTGTTCTCTTTCTTTGTTTGCAGGAGTGCACAAAGGATGTGGAGTGTTGTGGAGATCAGCTGTGTGTTTGGGGTGTTTGTGCTCAGAACAAAACCAAAGGACAGTCGGGAACAATCTGCCAGAACCAGAATGACTGCAGTCCTCAGCACTGCTGCGCCTTCCACAAGGGTTCAGTGATCTTTCTTTACAATATACCTGTTTTATTATTGTAATAATTCACGTTTATATCAACTTTTTATGTTTTAGGATTTAAACAATGGATTTACAATTCATTTCAAAAAGTAACAAATATAGCAGCTTTAGGTTTGAGAAATGTTTCAAAGTTCACATGAACTGGAAGCTGCGACTATCTTTTTTCGTATTGAGTGAAGCAGTTCTTAGAGAAACGAAATATTAAATGAGAAAGTATGGGGCGTGGCTTGTTTTTTCTGCTGCGAGCTGATTGGATGTGCTAAAGAAGGCCTTTTATTTAAATTGGGAAATGGGATTTATTACAGGCTAACAGACACCTCCTCCTCACCATTTCTGTTGGATAAACAATACCTCAAAATCACGTAATCTAAAAATAGACCTTTTTCACAAAGAAGTCACTGCTCTTCACCTTATCGGCAACGCAGTGTGTTTTTAGTTCCGGTTTACCTTTGAGTGAATGGGATACTTCTCTAAAAAATTTTACAACTCAAAATATTAACATTGTGATTTAAGACTATTTCTGGTATTGTGCATGTGTTCAAATGTTTCTCTTTCAATACTGAGCTGATTTCAGAGTTTGAAAAGGATTTTTTAAAGTTATTAAGAATAGGAATAAGCTATTGTTTATCAAGGAAAGCATCCTTTTCACTTAGGTTTATTAGCTCAATGATGCCATAAAAATAAATTGATATTATCGGTTATATGTAATTGTTTTATATTGTTTGGGCGAGGCAGTGGCGCAGTAGGTAGTGCTGTCGCCTCACAGCAAGAAGGTCGCTGGTTCGAACCTCAGCTCGGTTCTGTGTGGAGTTTGCATGTTCTCCCTGCCTTCGCGTGGGTTTCCTCCGTGTGCTCCGGTTTCCCCCACAGTCCAAAAACATGCGGTACAGGTGAATTGGGTAGGCTAAATTGTCCGTAGTGTATGAGTGTGTGTGTGAATGTGTGTGTGGATGTTTCCCAGAGATGGGTTGTGGCTGGAGGGGCATCCGCTGCGTAAAAACTTGCTGGTTCATTACGCTGTGACGACCCCGGATTAATTAAGGGACAAATCGGACAATGAATGAATGAATGAATGTAAACATGTAAAAGTATGTCTCTAAATGCAATGAGTTTCATCATATATTATTTATTGATCCATTAATGTTTTCTTCAGTTTCTCCATTTGAATGAATGAATTATGTCCAACCGCCACCTTTCAGGTGGATTTAATTTGATATCTATACAACCATTTAATTGATAATGTTACAAATAAATTTATAATCTAATAATACTGAATTAAAATGCCGTTATTTTTGCAATTGTAACAAGGTGCAATTGTAAATTTTTATTTAATTTTACATTTTTATGTGTTTTACATAATTTTTATGACCAATTTCCAAAATAAATCAGGTATATAATGACAGGCAATGAAGCAAAGGCCATGGCTGTGTCCGTGCACAGGCTCACGTTCTTGTGGTCACCGGTTGTTCTTGCAGGTAAACAACGCATATGAGAAATGAGATGAAGCGAGCTTCCTGCTAATCACGTGACTTCTCACAAAAACAATTTAAACTTTAATAAAGTTATTCTTTTTTTTTCTTTTCAGTGAAAATTTATAAATATTCAAGTACTACAGCACTGTCAATGAAGACAATTTGTAAAATGCAAATAAAAATGATTTCAGCAAGGAAGCTGCTCGCACCACTAGCAAATTGTGGGGGCCCCCTAGTGGCAGCGGGGCCCAAAGCAGCCGCTTAGTTTGCTCTTATTCACCTTATTCTTTGCTGACGAGCGGGCGCACCCATTTGAATATTTTTGGCTTGAGACTTACATTCACTCATTCACTTCTATTCATTTTTAGAAGTTAAAAACTGCTTGTTTCGCTGTTTGATGTTGCAAACTGATATTTCCTTATTATATTATTCTACTTGGTCTATATAGTCATGCAAACATTTGTTTGTAGAGCAAGTAGTTTGACCGTTTTCTGCCGTTTATTATTCCTAGTCATTTCTCCCATAGGCTACTGAATCGGAAGTTCTAAAACAATCGCGAAAACAGGCGCACTTCCGCATTTTAGAATAAGGTCAATAGGGAGGGCCGGCTATGCGTGGAGTGAAACCGGACACCGTGGGAAGTCGTGTGAATAGGGTCTATTTAACTGAAAACACAGAAGTGCATTTTCAGATTTTAATTTTAGATAAGAAGGGAAACTATTTTTTTGTAAATGACACGCACAGATGACTTGTTCACTACAAAACTAGCAATGTGAGCCAACAAAATCCTATTATTAGTTTTTATTTCTTTTGTACTTTAACCTTCATTTAAACTAAGAGGAAAAAAGTTAGGGGGTGTAAAACAATTGGAAAAAAATGGAACAATATTAGTGCTTTAGACATCCACTAACAGCAGCTGGTTATCCTGCAAAACATCTGAAAAAGATCAGTTTCCACTGGGCCTCTCTGTCAAAAGATTTCCTTTCAAAGTACTGAATTGTTTCCTTGAATTTGGAAACAGTCTCTCGATTTCCAGTGTTCCTCAGTTGTCCCACCTCTGCCAAATATGCATTAATCACACACAAGATGCACACAAGAACTTTAGCTGAGGTTTCGACAGATCACAACATTCCCTGAGGTCTGGAGTCCATCATCTGCTCTGTATCTCGTACTCACTTTTTGTGTGTGTTTTCCTCCAGCCCTGCTGTTCCCCGTGTGTCGGCCCAAACCGCAGGAAGGTCAGGGCTGTGAGCGTGAGGGGAATCAGCTGATGGAGGTGCTGCTGTGGGAGGATGAGGGTCCGCGCGAGCACTGCCCCTGTGCTGCGGGTCTGCTCTGCCAACAGATACAGTGAGAGACACACACCACGCACATACACTGCATGTGTCCAGCTCATGCCGGTGCAGGACTTTTATTTTTAATAATGGTAACTGAGGCAGCCAATGAAATTGCGGCTTACTGGTATAAGAAAGCTCTTGGTATTTAGTACTGTATGTGTAAAGTATATACTGTATATGTACATACACACACATACAGTTGAAGTCAAAAGGATTAGCTGTCATGTGAATTGTTTCCAAAATTTCCCAAATGATGTTTAACAGAGCAAGGATTTTTTCCACAGTATTTCCTATAATATTTTTCTTCTGGAGAAAGTCTTATTTGTTTTATTTTGGCAAGAATAAAAGCAGTTTTGAATTTTTAAAAACCATTTTAAGTTCAATATTATTAGCCCCCTTAAGCAACCGAACAAACCACTGCTATACATTGACAGGGCATAAACTGGAATCAGAGTGAAATTCAATACCTTTTAAGACCTTTTTTTGAGACTCTTTAGGTCTGAACAGGTAACATTGGCAACATTTTAAATATATTCACTTAATACTGACTGTAAGAAACTAATCTTAATCTAAAACATTATTCATAAACTTTATAAAAATGTTAATCCAGAAGGTTTCGCCTATAGAACAGCAGAAATAATGCTTACTGCAGTAAACAAAACAGTGTGACATCAAATATAGCAGGATTTCATAAACTACACTGCATCCCAAAATTTCAAACTTTAGCATACAACTATAATCATACAACTGTATAATCAAAAAGTTATGCAAAATTTAATACATTGTAACAGCATATAAGACTTTAAGGGCCTTAAATTTCTCTAAATTGATTTATTAACTTTTAATACTTGTTAAGACCCCGCGGACACCCTGATTGACTAGCCTAATTACCCCATTAAAGCCTTTAAATGTCACTTTAAGTTGAATACTAGTATCTTGAATAATGTTTAGTAAAATACTATGTACTGTCATCATAGCAAAGATAAAAGAAACCAGTTATTAGTTATGTGTTTGGGGACAAATATACAGAGGGCTAATCATTTTGTAGGGCTAATAATTCTGACTATTAATTTTACTTAATATAAACTAATTTGTTCTAATAATATATTATAATTATACTACGATTAAACACAATAAAACTATAATGTTAATATTTTAATGATTAATCTGTGAATGCATGTAAAATATAAGAATTTATTAGAGTTTGTATTGCAATTATACTAATAACATTAAACTTACTTTCATACATACTGTATTTAATTTGCCGTTATACTATGTATTATTCATATATCATAACATTATTATTAACATAATTCATACTTCATTTAAATATATATCGGACAGTGTTTTTGTGTTGTTGGAGGACACACACTTTGTGCACACAACTACAACAGAGGCTTCATATTTTTAGGAAGGCTGAGATTGTACTGTATCTTGCTTGTTTTTTACCGAGCTATGTTTGAAAGTCTTATTTGCTATGGAATCACAGTCTGGTTTGGAAATCTGTCCGTTTAATTGAAAAAGAAATTGGTTCATATTTAAAAAAATAGCCATGAAAATTATAGGAATAAAACAATACGAGCCCATACAGACTCTACTCTATGAACAGGCGGTCATGAGAAGATCAATAAATATTAGTGCTGAGTCCAAACATCCGCGTTTCTGTTAATATCAGCTGTTACCATCAGAAAAAAGGCTGACATTGCCAATGCGTAAGACCAATAGATTGAAGCTTTCGTTTGTACCTACCTTAATAAACTGTTGAACTCTACCAAGAACAACGCACCTGTAGTATATTAGTATATTATACAGTCAGGTGTGTTCTGTGCTTTATATATTGTATATTTATATACGGTCTTGTTTTGAAAACAACGCATGTGTTGAATTGTTTTGTTTGTTTTATTGTCTGCTTAGAATAACACTGTTGCACTTTTTTACCTAAGACAAATTTCCTTTCTGGGACAAATACAATTTATCCTATAATTAACTATTAAATAAACATATTAATTAATTAAAATGAAATAAAACAAGCAATGATTCTACATAATAGATACAGAAATACTCTAATAGTTATTTATATTATATTAATACACTATTAAAATCAACATTTCTATATACATACAGTATGTGCATTTTATCAAATGTTCATTTTACGTTACAGGAAATCATCAGTGTGTGTGGATGAGAGACATGCCTCCGGTGAAGGAAATGAGGACTGATCACAGAATCTGCTTTTGTGTATAATTGCAGCACCAAAGTACCTAAACGACTTTCCTAATTCAGCTGGAGAAGCTCTAATTTATATCTTGTTGGAATTGTGTCATTTGTACGCCACTACTGACATCAAAGAGTGTTTTTAAAAAGTGTAATTTTAGATAAATAATGACAATGTGCTGAATATCTGGACATTAAACCACTTCATAATTAATATGATCTCTGGAGGTTATTGGTTCCTTATGAATTGAATAGTTTGCAGATGTGAACAGCAGATGGCAGTGCTGAGTTGCAATTGAAATCTCTTCATACAAATGTCAATCGTCAATGGAAGACTGTAAATATTTTATAATAACTAGGCCTATTATTATGTTTTCTCCGAGACATCAGCATCGCTGTTTTGCCGCTTATTATCACAATATTTACGTTCCCTTTCAGCAACTATGAATGAATGATGGTTAATTTTTACAACTTAAATTACGACTCTTTAAACTTAAAGTAAGTTCACATAGTTTATTCATTTCTTTTGGTTTACAAACAAAAGGCACCCATTGATTTTGAACCCTCTGTTGACATTTTTAATGTGGCAAATACACTTTTCCAAGAAAGCAGACATTATGGGGAATACAATTCACTCACTTCTTGATTGTTACACGATATTAAATGAAAAAAAAAAACATAAATAAGGCAGACAAAACAAAGAAAAGTTGAACACACTACATCTGTCCTATCAAACCCTGACTTCAACACAATTTTATAACAATGAAGGAAATGCCAATATTATAAAATGCTTTCGGGGAAATGGAACATGAAGTGATGACAATGCCTAATATACTATAACAATATAACCATTTTTTCCTATAGTATTACCCAATTTCGGGGTAAAAATACTCTTAATTAGACCCTGAATACACAATACTCGTTCAAAAATCCCCATTCCGCTCAAAACCCCACATAAAAAATAAGGATCCTGATTTACGAGCTAAAATGAAGGCAAGGATCCTTTTTTGTGTTTTGTATTTTCTTTTTAAATCAGTCGTTAATAGAAAAGACAGAATAGCTCATCTATAATCCACAAAGTCAGTAACAATATCCGTCAACTAGCATTTCCTGCTATGATAATAAGATGTGCAAAGAGTTATGGAAAAAAAAAAAAAAACGCAACTCGATTTGAACGGTGATCCGAAGCACAGACGTTTTACGTTTCTTCATTTCACTCGTCATAAACAATCACTTCCTACTGATTTCAAAAATACTTTGTAGCGGACAACGTTAAACTACAGTGCTTTATCGAAAATAGAAGTACAGAAATGGTTTACAAAACATTCATCCGTTTGCTCTTTCACATTACGTCCACATTCAGACACAAAAACACTATCCAGTTAAAACGAACCGCCGTCACCTTCTGATATGAATTTGAAGTGATGAAGAACGCTAAAAAAAAAAAATAGTAGACAGCTGGTATATTTGGTTTGTAATGTACAAAAGCCTATTACCTGAACAGTAGTAATAAGTTATGGCAAGAGGAAATTAACACGCATCATCTATAAAATGTAAGCGTAATGATTTTTTTAAGCGTTTACGAAGAAGCATCTATGAAAATTCACTGGGTTCATGTTTATTAATAAGGCTCATTATTCATAAAGACTAAACCTGTTGAACAATTTGAGGTTTGAGTTTTTCTAGCATTCAGATGGTAACTTTGATCAATTCAATGATAAATAACAATGATAAATTCACAATTATCTGATTTCAGCGCAACTGTGACTTAATTTCGCAATTGTGAGTTTAGGTATTGCTATGTAGACTTTTGATCTTTTTTTCTTGTAACATTTTAAAACGATGAAGACTATTTATTCCTAAGTATCTTGCAATTTTTATCTAGATTGTAAAAAAAATTGTGAAACGTTAACTCCTAATTATAAGATTTAAACTCAGAATCTTCAATCAATCTTGCAATTTTGTCTTCCAAACACAACTCGTCAGTGTGAAATTATAATTGTAGTCGTTACCTTTTAATTTTATTTATCGTGTCAGAAATTTGAGAAAAACAAACAAGCCTGCTTTACTAATAAGTGAAAAATGATTGACTAAATGAGCTTGATTACTTTGAAAAAAAAAAAAAAAGGCCAACCAAGGTCAAGTAGCACAAATAAATATTAGACGCCATATTGAATATGACAAAAAAATGTTGTGATGGACTGTTTTATAGAGCTTTTGTCTATTTCATCAGCTGAACTGTTTCAGAATGAAAAATGTCCTGATAATTAAATTATTGACCCGCTTGTCGTTCAAGATTCTAACTTTAAACTTTCCTTCATTTCCTTTTGACTGAAGAAAGAAATAAGGAAAACATGCAGGATTTTCCTCAATATGGTGGACTTCCATAGTACAAAATATTATTTTGAGACTTTCGAAAAGCATCACTATTCACTCTTGAATCAATTCTGAGCGTAGTTTTTAGCAGCAGATGGTGCTGTATGCTTTACAAACAAACATACTTGCATCTATTTTCTTACTAATACCGCTACAACCAAAAATATTAATAAATAAAGTTAGGAAAGATTTAAGGGAATTACAAAAGCGTTCATAGTGAGTTGTTTACAATTACCATGTTTCTTAAAAGGCAAATTTTAGTCAACTTCCTCATGAGCATTTTAGCGTACAGTTCAAAACTAGCCTAAAGCGTCATCTGCTGTTAAAAACTACGCTCAGAATAGATTTAAGAGAGAACCACAATGTGATTTCTTAAATGATTTTAAATTTTTATAGTAAGAGCCTTATCTAGCGAGACAATCACTTTTAAAAAAAACATACATAAATAATGTAAATAAATAAACAAACTTGTCTAGCTCTAGCTTTGGAATACAAGCTTCTGTGGTTTACAAGTGTAAATATGTAACATTTTTAAACAAAATGAGCAATTGTTTAGCTAGACAAGATGCTTATTCCTCAGATGGGATCATTTAGAGCCTTTTAAAGCTGAAAGGTAACTGCTAATTCGGAAGTTCAAACCACTGGAGTCCACTTTATGTTTTCTTTTAAAAACATTTATATGTTTTCATCCGAAGACAGAAATAAATTGAATTAATAATCAGAAAATTTGAACCAACCCTTCAAACACTTTGCACTTTAATCCCTCACAGCCTCCAATTTCGTTCATTGACTACAAAAGAAACTACAATAAGACGCTAAAGACATTTATTAGCAGAAACGCTGATCGCTTTAGTCTCAAAGAGTTTTGAGAGGTATCGGAAAGAAGTAAGGCAGAAACAGACGAATCCAACAAAGACGTTTGGGAGCATTTCTGAACGTAGGCACAGATCCGAGACAAAGCCATCTCTTGTTTTTGTTTTGTTTGTGTGTTTTTACTCATTGTGCTTCATGGATTGGAACGGGGCCATTGGCGATGACAAATATGAGCATGTACAGTATGTAAACTATAATTATCAAGTCGTCCACGACCTGTTTGCGCTCAGGAGGTGAAACGGGTTACAGTAAGTGCTCAAACGCAGAAAGAGAGAGAGCGTCTTAAACCTCAAACCCTGAAAAATTCATGCTTTCTATTTAGCAGTGTGAGTGCACTTGCGCCCTTTCGAGGGGAGGACAGCGGATATTGAGTCTGTACCTCAGAGTCTGGAGTGTCGCGAAGCAGAAACGTGTGCATAGCAGTTAGGAGAGGAGAAGATGATGAGGGCGAAGATGAGGATTCAGTATCTCATGGTGCTGGAGGCTCTGAAATAAGACAGGAACTTGAAGCACAAGCTGACCACGAAGTACCAGATGTTTCTGGCCATCTGCGAGCGGGCGATGAAAATGCGCCAGATTAAAACCACCAGAACAGTGTTGAAAGTGTAGCGAATATTCCGCAGCCTAGGGGGTGGGAAAAGAAACATAGTATATGAATATTGGAGTTTTCATTAACTTTATTTGAAGGGGGTAATAATGAAGTGACATGTCATGAATATGAAGGATATTTTATACATGCTTGCGACTGCTGTCATTAATTGTCATTAGCTGGCATTATTTGACATGTCTGTAATGACAACTTGGCATTGATAGGACAGGATAACTTGTCAAAAATCTGTCATAAACATAACTATAAAGATTTCAACATAATTGCATCATGAATATTTTTTATTCTTTTTATCAGTGAAATGAAATGAGTTGTCATTTAAATTTCTCAGTAAAAGTGTCGATGCAGTTTCAACTAATTTTAGAACAGCGCCATTAATATTTAAATGACATTGAGAAATATTTTACTGACAAATTCCAGTTGTACCACAGTAGTTGAGGTCAAGAAAAAGATGAATGACACTGTTATACAATTCATTACAATTAAAATGGCCTCATGAGAATCATGTTTATGACAGATTTATGACAAGGTTATGTTGGTAATGTCAAGCTGTCATGACAAAGAAAGGTTTTGTTGTACATGTCAAGTTTTAATAACGACAGCTCAAATAGCTACATTTCCATCCACCTATTTTATGGGCATTTTGTATGTGTGCATAAAAAAACTGATGATGGAAACATCAAGATGTGCATAAATTTTGAAAATGCACATAAAAAACATATGCGCATTACGGAGTAGGATAAACTTTTTATACGATAAGAAAAGATGCACATAAACTAGGAGGGAAACACTTTCAACAAATTTCAGTATGCGCATTAAAAAGGTCATGTGATTTTGCTGTAAGAGATCATGTGATAGGGCTGGGCGATATGGCAAAAAATCTCAGTATTTTTAGAAGGAATGACGGTAGAAGATATATATCCGGTATTTTCCCACGAATGGTTACTTGAGAGTTAAAGCTTTTATTTAAGTGTAGTTTCACAGACTAATCAGTAATAATCCAATCAGAGTGATCCCAGCTAACTATAAATGGATTGTTTTCTCCCTACTGCTTTATCTTCGTTTTGGAAGAATTCCCCCTTCCACCCCTCTATCTCCTCCTTTTCCTCCCTTTTCTAAGGGGCTAGGCTTAAGGGGCCTCTAAGCTTATATATGCTTATTGACCGGGCGGGAGCCTTGGGTTCAAGTATTTTCGAGCTCGGGGTTCTCTCCTAGGACAGCATGCCAAACCTGCTATAAATGCTAAGCAAATCTAAGTGAGAACGCCTGAAACTTTATTGAACAGTTTTTGAGCAAAATCTAATTCAAACACTGGAGTTTCCCTCCCTGTGATTATCATCATTATAATTATCATTCTTATATTGTTATTTGTTGAAAGAGTAGCTAACAGCAGGATATAAAAAAAAAAAAGTTGGACAAACACATATTTATTTATTATTTTACTTTTTTTTTTAAGTTTTAATAATCGTTTAAACCTCCAACTGTTTAAACACTTGGCGCACACACACAAATCAAATTATATCCTCCAGTTAATGGGCTAAAATAAATAAATCATTCATTCATTCATTAATTTTTTTGTCAGCTTACTCCCTTTATTAATCTGGGGTCGCCACAGCGGGATGAACCGCCAACTTATCCAGCAAGTTTTTTAAGCAGCGGATGCCCTTCCAGCCGCAACCCATCTCTAGGAAACATCCACACACATATTAACACACACACTCATACACTACGGACAATTTAGCCTACCCAATTCACCTGTACCGCATGTCTTTGGACTGTGGGGGAAACCGGAGTACCCGGAGGAAACTCACGCGAACACAGGGAGAACATGCAAACTCCACACAGAAACGCCAACTGAGCAGAGGATCGAACCAGCGACTCAGCGACTTTCTTGCTGTGAGGTGAACGTGCTACCCACTGCGTCGCCCATAAATAAATCAATTAAACAAAATAAATAAATACAATAATTAGAATATAATCGTAATTGAAGTCAATATGCAATAACATACCAGAACGCAGAGCTAAATGAGTTATAATGTAAATGTAAAGAAGAGACTGTCGTGTAATAGATACTGAACTTATAATCTGTGAATATGAGGTGGTTTTACTTTCGCAATGCGGTATAAATTCTTCCCATTTTGGCCTTTTTAATTCTTTTGAACACATTCAGGTGCTGCTTGTCAATTTGACAAGGCCTCTATGTTCATTCTTGCTGTCAATTGTGGAAGAAATGATCGATAAAAGGTTTTTGATAAACTGCTTTAACAGATGCAGGCACTGTCTGAGGCACATGCACACAAGGGGGAGTCAGATCTTGAGCTCCAGCTCCTCCTATAAGCTGTCTTAATGCGTACACCCACAGTGACATCACTTCTAGAAGAAGTGCAAGGAAGGAGGAGCTGGAGCTCAGCTCTGCCCAAGTGGCTCTGCAGTGAGTACCACTTGGATTTGTCCGAGGAGTGAGATTTCCATACAATACCAGCACTGCATGTTTCTCCATGTCGCGTGTAGTGATGGGTCGTTCTTAAACAATTCGTTCCTTTTTACCAAATCTTTTTGTATGCTCATATGAATGCGCACGTGTGGCCTCAAACCATAAAGATTTAAAAGATATTGGTTAACCCCGTATCGCGTTAGGGAATTCATTATACCGCCGAGCCCTATCATGTGATGATAAAAATGTGTGTGAATGGATAAACCAGCAGACTGAAGACATTGTAAAATATCTGAAATGTTGTTTTGGTCATTTTAAAATGCCTAACCAATTCAGTATTAGTGTTATTATATTATTAATGACCTTGGCTTTATGACCTACATAAAGCCAACAATTTTAATGTAAAGTATGGTTTTTGATATTTAATAACATATCCACCTCAAGAAATCTTCTATTGACAAATCATCATATACAGACGAAATTATTTATATTTATTCATTTATATGACGTCATAATGTAAAAGACTTGTAATAACCCCAACTCTAAAAACCCATAAAGGCTGAGGTGCATTTTGGACATTTTATCTTTGACTTTCCAACCACCATTTCAACACGATTTCACACATTTCCTATATGAACATAGAAACCATAGTTCAATGCGTGGACAATGCAATAAGTTCAGCAGCTGCGTACAATGGAGCAGCAAAACCCACATGACTGTGAATGAGGATAGTTATAGCCTAGATCAGGGGTGTCAAACTCAATTCCTGAGGGGCTGAAGCCCTGCACAGTTTAGTTCCAACCCTGCTCCAACACACTTACCTGTAGGTTTCAAACAAGCCTGAAAGACTCAAGTAGTTTGATCAGGTGTGTTTAATTAGGGTTGGAAGTAAACTGTGCAGAGGTGCGGCCCTTTTGGAACTGAGTTTGACACCTGTGGCCTAGATGGACAAAGTAACCTAGAGGAACTAGAATACATACTTGTTCAAGTGTTTGCGTGCCGCTGGGAGTCCTGACAGCTCTTCATTGAGAACATACTTCTTGGTGCCCATGCAGTAATTCTCCATATATTCTGCCCAGTGTAACTGCCTGACGTCAAAGTTAAATACCTGAGTGGAAATAAAAAGTCATTTAATAATAAAAAAGAGCAAAATAATTAGCTAATAGTTCTTGCTATACAAAGGTTGTCGTCCTATCTAAGTTGATTTTTAATAATTTAATTAGGACAGTAAGGTCTGATTTGCTTAGACAAAAGTCTCGTCACTTATCAGAAATAATGTGCAGTATAAAATATAAAGTCATGGCGCAGTGGAAAAAGAATTAATATTGTGTCTGACTCCCATGAGCTTGGACGACGCCATCCATACATTTCTACAATGACTCGGATAAGTTATTAATAAAGTCATCTGGAACGGCAAAGAAAGCATTCTTGCAGGTCTCCCAGAGTTCAACAAGATTCTCTGGATTCATCTTGAAAAAAAGTGAAATAAACAGTGCTTTATGGTTTTCTGAAAAGAGTCTTACAGTATTCAGACACAGAACGTGAATAATAAAATGTTAAATAACATTGCATAATCTTCATCATATAAAAATTCAATAAAATTTATCTGTCTTTATGCGGTATTAAAATGATTTAAACTCTTTTAAATTGCTCACACAGTCACAGGTCAAATTCTGCAGCGTCTCTAATAATCTCATGTGTTTTGACCTATGGTTTTTGGTCAACTATAATCCCAACTCAACATTGCATATCTTGCGATTTGACTATTGTGGATGCACACATTGTGATCTCGATGCTGAAACTATATATTGTGCAGCCCTACTCTCTGGCAAATTTACAAGACTTTCATTATGTTAGTGGCTGTTTTTGCCCAATTGACTTCCATTAAAACCACATTATTGATTGCAAATCCATGACACTATTTTATCATGTATTCTGTCATTGTTGGTGGTTTTACCTAATGGGGGAAGGTCAAATTTGTAATCTTTTCTTTTGATCAAATTTGAACAATACACAAGGGTTAAACAACTGATGTGTTTCTCACAGCAGTACTTCCTTATTAACAGCAAAAACAATGTGTTTTAACTTGGAAACAACTGTGACTTGCTGTTTGCCTGTGTGTGTGTGTGTGTGTGTGTATTCAGAGCCAGTGAGCAGTGAACATTCAAAATAGTAAAAATAATCATAAAATATGCAATAATACATGATGAAAACAGGTCTGGCCAGCTTTAGATTATTAATATAATTATTGCATACAGTTTAATCACTCAAATTATGTATGAACAAATCCCTCTGTAAAAAACATCAGATGTGAGATCTGAAATCTGTTTGATAAGAAAAATGGAAGTATGGAAGTACTTTAAATGTAAAGATGTATGGCAAATTGAATGAAAAAGTTCAAAAAAGTAACATTTAAATGTATTTTGGATGTTTTCTTTCCACTTGACTAAAAATAAAATCTGTTTTTACTTGTAGTATCTCACCTTAAAGGGATAGTTCACCCAAAAATCTAAATTAACTCATTTACTTACCCCCCCAAGTACTTTCAAAGGTTTACAAGTTTCTATTTTGTGTTGAACACAAAAGAAGATATTTTAAAGAATGTTTGAAAAATGACAGCCATTCACTTCACAGTTACTACTATGGAAGTATGGCTACAGGCTTCCAACATTATAACAGAATATCTTCGATTATGTTCAACGGGAGAAACAATGTTTAAAACAAGTGAGTGAATGGTGACAGAATGCATTTTATTTTTGGCTGAACTGTCTCTTTTATACCGATATTAAGAATAAATGCTTCATTCACAACACACAAAAGCTCAGATTTGCCAATAGCACACTGACACATTTCAGCTGGCATGATTCAGAATCACAGATGCGACTCACTGAACTGTGCCAGTTGGGCAGACTGAGAGTGTATTCATTCATACACACAGTCACACACACACACACACCTTCTTATCCTCGGCCCCCATCTGGTTCATGAGCATGGTGACGTTGTCTGTGTTCCAGACCCAGGAGTGGCTAGTGAAATACTCCAGCACCATCATGGCCTTGTGCAGTCGAGTGATGGTCTTCATCATCCTACAGCCGCAGACATGTTAGCATTAGCTTTAAATCAGTGAAGAGTGCTACTGTATGTGGCTTTGCTCTTTTTTCGGTTTGTTTTAATCCCCAAACAGGCTTTCGGTATAATAAGAGCAGAGGGTGACAAGAGTCTATGACAACTTGTATGTGATATAAATGGGATTGTAACAAAACAACAACACATGAAATACATAGTGAAATAAGAAAATTCAGGTTATTAGGAAGCCCATTTTTGACACAAAGTAAACCGATGTATTGTGATATCAAGTTTGATCCATGGAATTTTGGTATAATTGTAAAAACTGGATTATGAAATTTAAATTTCTGTCATATAAAGACGAATGTATGAAAAACACAGCTGAAATGACAGGATATTAATCTTAATGTGAGAAATAAAGTCAAAACATAAATAAAGGTTCATTTTTTTTACTCTGAGGTTAAAAAAAGGCTTCCATGGGTTAGTTTTCATACGACATATCTAGCAAAAAACAAATACAATTAAGAAAAAGAAGAGTAAATAAATAACAAACAAACAAAAGAACAAAAAAACTCAAACTAAACCAACAGATAAGTTAAACAGTAAAACAAAAATAAAACAAACAAAGCAAACCAAGAAAGCTTCAGTAAAATAATATAAGAAACCAAACCAAACAAAACAGATTCAGTGAATAATAAATAAGTAAAACAAAAACAAAACAGACCGATAAACTAACAAGACATCCAAAACACAACCAAACCTAACAAAACTACATGTATAAACAAAAAATCTCACCTCCTCCAAAAAAAATTAAATAATAACAAAACACAAAAAGATCTAAAAAATAAATAAATACAAATTGAAAAACAAAACAGAAACACTTTATTTAGATTGTCCATTTGAGTACTATCAGACTGTCTGTTTAATATCTGTTGATACTGCGGCTAAACAGATTTAACTGACTATAAGACACTTTGCAAGTACATGTCAACTTACAATAACCCTAACCCCAACCCCAGTCTACTTATAATCTAATGAGAATTAGTTTTCATGCAGATGCACTGTAACTTATTCAACAAATGGACCATCAAAATAAAGTGTGACCACAAAACAAACAAAACGTTAAATAACAACAATTAAAAAAACAACCCAGCAAAATAAAACAGGTCTGTAACAGATCACGGTTGATCCGTGATTCGTACAGATCACAACCCACAGTTCAGAACAAATGTGACCTGTAGATTAATACATCAATAAATTAATGCTAAATTTGTAATGATCTCAGAGAGATCGCCTCTCGCGTCATTCAAATCACATGTATGAAAGCATTTAAGCTTTCCTGTAAAATATAATGATGACAGAAGAAGTTGTGGTAGGTTATTCAGGATGTGCTGGGTTTCTTAGGTTATTAAAGGTGTTTTGTGTCACTACTTGTTTAGCCTGCATCAATGCATTCAGCGTAAGCTATGTGATTAATCATTTAAAGATTGCGATCTCAACAACCATGCAACATAAATTATAAATGATGGTGATTTGCATAAGTTCATTAATACTTTGAATTGCTGCATTCAAATCTGTGCTTGAAAAAACGCAAAAATCATTCAGACAAGATTCAGACTTTAGTCTTTTGATTTAATTATGAAGTTACAAACAGTCAAATAACACAGAAGTACTGAGATAATAGTTTATAGTTTAGATATAACTACTGATGTTTATGGTAAAGATTAAAATCACTGTCATATGCATTTAATTTGATGCTTAAAATGAAAGTTGTAGGCAGCATCTACATCATTTGACCAATGGGTGGCAAGAACCAGCCATCAACATATGTGTGCCAACATATAGCACCATAGTGCTCAGGGCGACCCAAGTTCAATTCCCGGCTCAAGGTCCTATGCCCATCCTTCCCCTCTCTCTAATGCTTTCCAGTCTATCCTCCACTATCCTATCTCAATAAAAAAGTGAAAAACCCCTATATATATGCCACTGAATAATTATTTAAAAATTATCCATTTAGAAGTGAAACATGAAGTTTTATGAGTTAATAACCTAATCATTTATTGAAAATGAGACTAAAAAACGATATGGGTTGCACAAACAATGTTAGATTTATACATTTAGCGTTATCAGCAACAGTAAGAGTGAATTTTTCACAGCACTGAATATTTTACAATTTATTTTTATTCAGCTGATTATTTCTTCATTTTATTTTGTATAAAAATACAAGTTCTAAGTTCTGTAAAAACCGAAAGTGTGTTGCAGTGCGTGTGCATTACATTTGTCTCCCCTTTTTGGCTAATCCAAAAAATGGTTCGATCCTTGACTAAAAAATCATAACGTGATCCGAACCGTGGGACTTGTGATCTGTTACACCACTAAAACAGACAAAAAAAAAAAGATTCAAAATTTTAAAGTAAAACAAAACAAATTAAATACAAACAAAAACAATACAGTCCACATGCACATGAAACAACACAAAAAGGTTCAGCAAAAAAAAAAATTAAATAAAATAAATAATTAAATATATATATATATATATATATATATATATATATATATATATATATATATATATATATATATATATATATAAGATATTAATAAATTAGTAACTTCGTCAGCCCATCCATCCTGCAGTTTATTCCATCCAGGTTAGTAACCAGCGAAGCACGAACCTTTGCAAAACAACTGTGGATTCCCGTTAAGATTAGGTTAAACTCTGATCACATGATAATATCATCAATATGATCACGATGGATCTTTAAAGGGCACCTGGGGGCATATTTTAGATTACAGATACGATTTCTGTATTTGTCTTTGTGTGCGTCTGTTTACACAAACTGTCGAATTTCACTTTTCACTGTTAAACTTGCTGTAAATGTCCAAAAAGCACCCAGTTTCCCCATCAGGATCACTATTGGGTTTGATAGGCAATGAGTACATGCATTAGGTTATTAATAGAGAAAAATCAAATTCAAAACATTCGCATGGTTAAAACAATTCAGAACATCTTTGCACCTTAAAGCAGACAGATTTCAGAAATGTTCAATACATTTGGTGGATGTTACAATAAAACATTACAATTGCAAAATCAGATTTAAGGTGCAAAATCAGTCCTTTTATTTCTAGATACCAAACACCTGCATACTGGAACTTAATTGATATTTGCCAAATTCAGCTAGTTCTTGACTTTTGTGCACAATTTGGAGGACACAAACTGATATTTGTATTTTGCTGGATTGAACCAGGGGCTTTCAAACTTATAATGCCAAATATGACCTTTATGGAATAAAAAAATATTTCTAAAAGATAAAGCAGTTGTATATTTTTCATAAAAAGTTTTTCATAAAAACATTAAAATAAATGTAAATTAAATAAAAAAGATGATATATTTTAAAAGCTAAATTATAAAGCTAAGTAAAATATTGACCTAATGAGTGATTAAAATTAAATGTTTTTTTTTCTACAAAAAGTAACTAAAACTAAAAATCAAACAGCTTTCCCCCCAAAATAACTTTCAAAAACAAAAAATCAACAACAAAGAACTACCACCAAAAATCAATTTAAATAAATAAATAAATGATTACCAAAAACAAAATACAAATCAAAACCCAATACAAGCATGCAGACAACATTTTATTTCTTTTTTTTTTTTTAAGCTTTAAAAACCCCTTTGTTCAACCAACCAATTCCTAGAGCAGAGTTTGGTACCTGTCCCAACGACTTCTGAGTGCTGTTCTCTGATCAGCTTGAAAGAAAATTTGCATAAAAACAGTCCGCATCTGATCCGAGTGGAGCACTTCAACTTGCTTAGCGAGTACAGACTCTGTTGGCCCAAAACATCATTCCCAAATTCCACTATGATTCTTATGCTACAAGAGAAGACTAGTGATGCACCGATCTTTTCAGAGCCGATTCCTACTGCTGATTTTTTATTTTTATTTTTTACAGGAAAACTGACCAATTCCAATAAAGAGTTCCGATATTAAAACAGTAGAGAGGCTGAATGAAAATGACAGAACAGCAGAAATAATAACATCATATTTCATAAATAGATTTGTAATTATTATTTTCAGTGTTTTTAATTATTTTTATTTATTTATTAATACATTCGTCCTTGATTCAATCTTTAACTGCTGCACATTTTATTTTCATTTTACATTTGTGTTCATATTTCCTGTATTATACAGAGATTGTCTAAATAACACCTGTCAAATATTAAAAGGTAATGTATTAGAGTTATCAAATTACTTTAAGCACACCATGAATAACCCCAAAATGAGTTTTCTGATGCAATATTACAGCCAGATTTATCCTTTTTTGGTTTTGGTGTTTGTGTCTGTTGTTTTATTTTGAAGTAAATTAGTTTGTTGTTGTTGTTTTTGTATTGCTTATGTAAATTTGTCATTTTATGTGTTGGACCCCAGGACTTGCCTTGCCTTGCCTTGCCTAAATACACATGTCATGTATTTTATTTAATTAAAATGATTTGCTTAAATGGATCCTTTTCATGTGTTTCATCGTCATCAGCAACTTAAATCATTTTAAGTTTGCAATATTTAAATATTTTTTTGTATTTACAAGTTTTTATGCAAGTATAATATCCTCTTTGCATTAAATAACAAAAAACGAGTAACTACTTGTGCAAGGTGTGCAGCGTCTACAGACAGGACAGTAAATTTGACCTTATTCTCTTATCTTAGTCTCACACAATTATTTTTAGAAAGTCTTGATAACACCATTGATAAATTTTTCTTTTATAATTTCAGTAAATTTTAAAAACGTTGATTTCCTGCGAGCATTTGAGCGCTGATTTGCCATGGTGTTCACGTGCTCGACATAAAAGACAGTGATTGGCCGTGAAGGTCATCAGTTTATCGAACTCACTGCTGTTTACTGAGTGTAAACCGAAATACAGGGACACTGGAGCATTTCAAAGTCAAGTTGATCAGCTGGTTCGTTTATAAGCTGACATACGAGCGATCCGCTGATAAATCATGGCTTTAAAACGCTCCAGTGTCCCTGTATCTGTGGTTATACTCGGTGAGTTTAGTGAACTGATGAGCACGTGAACACAATGGTCAATCAGCGCTGTTTAAGAGCGTCCTCAACAGCGCTCAAATGTAAGCAGGAAATGGACGTTTTAAAATTCTAATATCGATTGGTACCGAATTCCAGTATTGTGACAACCCTGCTTGACTATGTTTCCATCCATTTTGCATGAATGCGGAATGTGAAATTGCAGATTTTGAAAATGCAGATAAAAAAACGTTTGTGCATAATTGAGTAGGTTAAACTTTTTATTCGGTAAGAAACAATGTGCAATTATCAATTACCTCCAGAACTGTCAAGAGCATCTGTGCTCTATCCACGTCTCATGCCTTCTAACAACACTCGATGCATTTATTTCATGTTGACATTTGTCTTCTGAGAAAAATGTGTTAAATAAAGAAAAGATTCATGCAGCTTCTCCTAACGCAGTAAAATTCCATCTTTACTGTTGATATTGGGCACCAGTTAATCAGGAGGTTATGACTTTGTTCTCTTTGATTGATTGGTTGGAAACAGTGCTTTATTTGCACATATTTTATGTGATATTCCAGTTTTGGGCATACATTTAATTCACATATTTGGATGGAAACATAGCTAGTGACAACTTCAGCATCTGAGAAATCTGGAAATGTGAAAAACAGTCTATTTTTTACCCAAACACAACCCATAATTTGAACCGCAGTAGTCAGGTGGATAGAAAACAAGTTTGTACAATTTTGTATACAAGTTCCTAACTTAAATTGGCTGAATTTACATAATTTTTTTTTTTTTTCTAAATTTCGATCGGTGCATCTCTAGATCAGACCAAAAAAAATCTCTCTTGAAGACTTAATGGCATGGCTCAAAAGTAAAAAATAAAAAACAAAAATGGAATTATGGGATGGATCCATCTTTTCAACAAAAAGGACTCCATGCACTTTAATGGAAGCCCCGCCCATCAGCGTTTGTCCGATGCCATGAAGTCGACCGGCCAGTTCCTTCCCAACCGACCGGTCAGTCAGTCATGCCACACCACGCACCCAACACCCAGTGCTGGAGGTGAGGGAGGAAAAAAAAGGGGGTACCGAAGGCCTTACCGGGGCTTCTGACCCGTCAACATGAGAAAGCCGTCATACAGCAGGGCAGGAAGGGTGTGACTCACTGTGGTCCAGTACTGATTGGTAAAAGGGTTGGAGCGCAGGTTAACATTGGGGCGTCTGAAAGCCTGTTCTAAAGGGTTGGTCTTGAACGTCATGTTTATGCAGTACTCTGAAAAGAGGAATACAGGTATACAACATACAAGAGCGGTTTTAAACACTGAACTACACAAACACAACACACACACATACACACACACAAACACGCACGCATGTGTGGAGGGGAAGCGTGCAGAACCCAGTATCCAATTGGGTTATGCATCCTTGCCCAAAAACACGGAGAGAGCGAGACGGGACGGAGAGCCAGACCGGAGGGAGGGGAAAGCGGTTGGATTTACCTGGGCTCTCTTCCCGACATCCTGAGGAAGAGATCGTACAGGAATGCTGGCGCCTTGTGGCTTACAGCAATCCAGTACTGATTGATTAGGTGATTGGTTGTGAGATTTACGTTTGGCCGCCTGAAGGCCTGCTCGAGGGGGTTCCTCTTGAAAGTGGATATAACATGGTACTCTAAGAGACAAAAAGGTTCAACAGTAAACGCCTCAGCGGTGCATGACTTAGCTCAGGGTTCAAATAAAATGTCAAAAAATGTCTACGTTGTTTTGGCTATATACTAACATTTTGTTTTGTGTGATAAGGTACATGTGCACAGAATAATTTTTTATTGCGCTGCAGAAACGCGAGAACTGTTCAAGTGTTTAAAAAAAGCAGAGCACTACAAGGTCATAATAGTTTTAGTTTTATTTTCGCTTTGACCTTTTCTTTTCAAAATTAATTAGCTATAATTAGTTTTTAGAGGTGGATTTACAAGTTTTTATTAGTTTCTAATTTGAAATTGTTTTGTTTTAGTTTAGCTTTTATTAGTTTCATTAGTTTTTTTCGTAAATAAGGATATTTGTTAGGTGCAAGATTCAAAATCAGAGTAAATGTTGAATATTAAAAACTCAACCAAAGATTAATTTTTTGAAACATGTATTCAGAGGACACGTAAACACTACCATCTACCACTATCATCTACCCATCCTCAAACTCAAATACAACAGCACACTAGATAGCAGCCGTACAGTAAGTGACAATCCTCCCATGTTTGGACTCAACAGACCAAAAATGTATCGGCAGCAATCATAATTTCAGTCAGTTAAAACATCACCATGATCTGAACAATTTCTTACAATTAAGTTTCACAACCCAACTGATACATGATTCACTTATTCAAATTCCAATTCAATTTTCTGTTATGAAATAAACATACGTTTTGCCAGATCACAGCAGGCTGTCATGTACTGTTAGTGTTCAGTTCATCTGCTGAATCACATATGTGCAGTATTATAAGTTCTGTGTACTGTTCTAATAACTGAATAACCTAGTATATATTGGTTTATTTAACTTTTTTGGTAAAAAAAAAAACAACTCAATCGCGATTAGGATCACTAGTATTGAAATAAAACTCATTATTGGGCACAAATTTGTCTGCTTGGCTCGTATTTAATGTTGTCACCATGCTGCAGTCATGTCCTCTATTTATTTTTGACGCGGGATCTGGCTTGATCTGGCCAATGGCATCAGGATTACAGACTCTGAGGTGTTGAACAGGTCAAACACCTGATAGCGCAAAGTAAATAAATTTACTTCTAAAAGGCATACAGTAGGCTTATTGAATACATTTAAAAAGATGAAAACGAAGGATATTTTTGCTATAAGTTTAGTTAGCTTCAGTTTTGTATGTACACAATACAGTTTCGGTAGGTCAGTTTTTTTTATTTATTTTTTTATTTTAGTTGTAATTTTTTTGTTCATTTTCGTAACCTATTATAACCTTGGAGCACTCAGCACTGAGTGTAAAACACACGTTCAGTGCATGGATAAGCAGTCGGTCTTTAAAAAAAATACAACAGGAAAAAAAATCATTAATATATATATATACACAGTTGCGATCGGATTTATTAAATCCCCCCTTATTTTTTCCCCCAATTTCTGTTTAACGGGGAACAGATTTATCTCAAAACATTTCTAAACATAATAGTTTTAATAACTCATCTCTAATAACTGATTTATTTTCTCTTTGTCATGATAACAGTAAATAATATCTGACTTAGATATTTATCAAGACACTTCTATACAGCTTAAAGTGACATTTAAAGGTTTAACTAGGTTAATTAGGTTAACTAGGCAGGTTAGGGTAATTAGACAGATAATGATGTATAATGATGGTTTGTTCTGTAGACTGTAGAAAATAATATAGCTTAAAGGGGCTATATATATATATATATATATATATATATATATATATATATATATATATATATATATATATATATATATATATATATATATATATATATATATATATATATATATATATATATATATATATATATATATATATATATATATATATATATATACATAAATATAAACATAAATTTCATTTTAACTAACTGACTAAAAACAAAGCTGTTTTAATTGTTCATTTGAACTTCGTGCTTCAGCACACATTTGTGTTGTTTTTTTTTGTGGTCTTTTGTTATTAACAGAAATACTGTCAAACTCGATGTCAGTCTTTAACCACATTGATAAACCTGTTTTAAGAGCTCCTTGGAAACATGTTTGTTGTGATAACACAAACACCGTTGAGATGTATTATTTTTTCATAAATGCTTCATTCAAAATCAGTTAAACACAGTAAATAACCCGGATTTCTTATGGAAGCAAGTTTTGTAGCACTGAATACAAATCTTTTTTTCCTGCTGTGTTTAAAGCATGGCAGTGCTAACTAGTACAATAAAAAAAAACATATTTTACTGTAATATACAGATATATTTGTGTCTGGAAAGGACCTTATTTTTAACTGAAAAATTTTACTGGACTGGATATCAGGAGTATTAACCTGGACAGAACTGTTACACCTCTGTAAATAACTGATTAATTTTAGATTAAATTGAAAGGAACGATTAAGCACTGTAATATAATTCAACAAATAAAAACAAATCAAAATATTATTATTGTTACATAATTTTCATTACATATTATATAATAATATTTATCTTATTTGGATTGCCAAATATGATTGAAATTCAAAATGTTTTATATAACAAAATGTGTATTATTTACTACAATGCTTTGTTAATAATACAATTTAATAAATTTGTTTTGTCATTTACAATTTTTATTAAAAAGTTTTTTACATTAAACTAAAGCTAAAAAAAAATTATATACATCTTGCATATAGAAACGGCAAGAAACAAATATAAGTAAACGTTATAAATATGTTAAACACATTAGATTTTGTTGATGTTGATGTCTCATACATAAAAAAAAAAAATCTGTAAAGTAAAATTAAAACTGAATTAATACTGAATTAAAATACTGATTAATGCGCTATAAATTTAAAACGTTCAACTAAATAATTATTAGTTCACCCCAAAATTATTTGCTTAGGGATGGGTATCATAAAGGTTTTAATGGTATTACTACTTTTATCGATACCACTTATCGGTTCGGTACTTTAACGGTTCTCTTATCTGTACTTTTTTTAGTGTTTTTTTTTTAAAGAAAAAACAAAATGAACAAAATTAACAACACTTAATTTTATTATTTCCCACCACTCTAAAGTTAACGTTATTTTGCGTCGCGCGCGCAACTCCCACCGTTTTTCGGGTACGTCTCGCACGCACACGCCCCCCTACCCAGATACGTTGCTCACTCAACGCAACCCTCCCCTGATGTATAAGTATTTTTAATGTTTAATATTTATTTAGGCGACTGCAGAAAAAACATACTGGTTTTATTGTATCAAATGTGTGTGTTAATTTAACTATTAATAATATGCTGATTTAGGTGATTGACTGCTGGAATAAGGATGTGGATAATGTAACGTTGCCGTTAGTAGCTAGGTAGTCAAAAACTTTCTGCAGTTAATGCCCTTTTGAAAGATACTTTCACTTACAAGAAGATAACTGGTTGCGTTTGTTGCAACAGGCATTGTCGCTGTCCACTCTGGAAATACAACCCTTTTGGTTCACTACCCAAGCTTACGAGTCTCTACGAGCTATGTGCCGAAAACTGTGAAGTTTTATACTTGACGCGGCCGCCGGCAACACAAGCATTTCCCAAGTGAGATTGCCAAATGTGCAGATGAATATTATTCATTCATTCATTCATTTTCTTTTTGGCTTAGTCGCTTTTTTAATCTGGAGTCGCCACAGCAGAATGATCCGCCAACTTATCCAACTTATGTTTTTACACAGCAAAAGCCCTTCCAGCTGCAACCCAGTACTAGGAAACATCTATACAGTGTCATTCACACACATACACTGTGGACAATTTAGCTTACCCAATTCACCTGCACCACATTTTGTTTTGGACTTGTGAGGGAAACCGGAGCACGGGGAGGAAACCCACATGAATATGGGGAGAACATGCAAACTCCAAAAAGAAATGACAACTGACCCAGCCAGGGCTCAAACCAGCGACTTTCTTGCTGTGAGGTTATTGTGCTACCCACTGCACCACCGTGCTGCCCAGACAAAAATCACAAATTAGGAAAGGTTGGTCAGTTAAATTACGCTACTGTAAGTAATGTTTATTCAGCAATAATTCTCCAATACTGATAGCAGAACCGTTAACGTCAGAGCTTATCGATACTTCGGCCTTTTATAATGTAGCACTAATACCGATAAAGTACCAAGTTTCGGTACCCATCCCTATATTTGCTAGCCTTTTATTTTGCTCTAAACCAGTTTGGGTATTTTTGTTCCGTTGAACACACACACACACACGCACGCACGCACGCACAAAAAAAGAAGATATTTTGAAGAATTTAACCGATGACAAAGTACATGTTTATCCTACCACAGATGCCAATGATTTCATTTTCCCACCGTTATTCAGAATATATTCTTTTTGTGTTCTGCAGAATTGCTTTGTAACAAATCAAGAATGAGCAAATGAAACTGAATTTTCAGTTTTGGGTGAACTATCCCTTTAAAAGTTAAATTTAAATAGGAAAAAACACAAAAAAAGTCTCACAAACTGCAACCAATGGTCTTCATAACTCATTCTCTCCACCCTAAACCTCTCTGACAGCTATGCAGTTGTTTGAAATATACTCAATAGCAGATCTCAAATCCAAGTAACAATCCCTCCCACAAAAGACAGAACCGACAAACGCCTAAATTACACAAACACTTGTTCAAACAAGTCACGCATTACACATTCATTCACTGAACATGACAACAGCTCTGATTCTGCAGTCAAGGACAAAAATGAGCAGGAAAAAAATGACGCACTGAAGGCCAACGTGGACATTCGAGTCATGCAGTGATTTGTCTGAAAAAGGTGATTCATACCAACTTCACCCCAGTGAAAAGGATTGATGCCACCCGTCGTGCAGTTGTACACTAACAAACTTCTCGGCCTGCGATAAAAAGAAGGAAAAAAAAAAACATTGTCAGGAAACTAGCTACATTTGTTCCATGACTTTATTTTCCAGTCAGGGATTTAGTGTGGCTGTGGTGTGCTTTTTCCAGACCTGGCGTGTCTTTGGGAGCCTGAATACCAGGCAGCAGCTAAAGTGGTGTTTATGACCACATCGACTGGCACCAGGTCAGCGACGGCGTTATTTGAAGCCCTCATTGTTCGGAGAATCCCCTTTCCTGCCTGCACAGAAACAAACAAAACAAAACTATAATATATTCAGCATACTATTTAGACCAGAAAATAGCCTTACTTTATAAATCTATTATAATTTAACATTCTCATCTGATCAGCAACTACTCATTAACACTAGAACTACAGAAGCAGTCATTTTGACCAGTTTTTAATTTTGCAATTTAATAACTTTTGTTAGAAAAAAACACATCTAAAGTAACTTGACTTTTCGTAATTGTGCTGCACATTATGTATCGTTTCAGCATCGATATCGCAATTTGCAAAACCGCAATGGACACATGGCAGGATTTACAGTACAATGTCAAATTAGAATAAGACCTTTAGTGGTCTCTCTGGGTATAAATTAAAATTCTGTAAAAGTGAACTGTTCCCATTAAACTCATCCTCTTGTTAGATTTTTCCACCAAATATGATTGTATAATATTAGCAGTGTGTTTGGGATCTTTATCACGCTGAAAAATAAAACTATTACAAATCAGATGAAGAATTAAAACCAGTCTGTACTTTTTAGTATTCATTATCCCTTTAATTCAGGCAATAGTGACAACTGCTCTGGCAGAAACAGCAGGATTTTTCATTCATTCTTCCAACTCTTTCTTTCATATGTCTTTCACAATTTGACCCAAAGAAATCTGACTAGAGCCTGTGTTTTCTGATTGTATTTTAGTAAAGAGAAAAAATATATGCTGTCATTACACCCTCACTAAAACTACAAATGTAACTGGGGGCTTAAAACTATTGCACAGTACTTTATATGCGTATTAAACCATGGAAGTCATACTAAATGGTTCAATATTGTATTGAGTATAGTGGCATATAATATTGCTTAAACATACTGCATATAATATTCAGGTCTGGAATCTGTAAAGGCAATTTCATGAAAGTCTTTGTTTCATCAGCTGTTTTACCCTCTAAATATAATTTTATTACCTTAGCAGTGTGTTTGGGATCTTTATCAAGCTGAAAAATAAAACTATTACAAATTAGGTGCTTTCTAGTATAAATTACATGATGAACTAAAACCAGTCTGTACTTTTTTAGCATTCATTATGTCATCAATTCAGGCAATACTGACTACAGCTCTGTCAGAAACAGCAGGATGTTTCATCCATTCTTTCAACTCTTTCTTTCATATGTCCTTCACAATGTGACCCAAAGAAATCTGACTAGAGCCTGTGTTTTCTGGTTGTATTTTAGTTAAGAGAAATAATATATAATGTCATTACACCCTCACTAAAACTACAAATGTAACTGGGGTCTTAAAACTTTTGCACAGTACTGTATATGCGTATTAAACCATGGAAGTCATACTAAATGGTTCAATATTGTATTGAGTATAGTGTCATATAATATTGCTTAAACATACTGCATATAATATTCAGGTCTGGACTCTGTGAAGGCCATTTCATGAAAGTCTTTGTTTCATCAGCTGTTTTACCCTCCAAATATGATTTCATTACATTGGCAGTGTGTTTTGGATCTTTATCACTCAAAAAAATAAATATGAAAAATAAAATCTGACAAACCTTTTAAAGGCGTAATCTTGGACACTGTTCACTAGCATTATATGGATAAGCAAACAGCACCTAAATTTTTACATCAAAAGCAGCACACTGATACTCACAGCGATGAATATCCCGCTAGGCCCGTTGAAATTGTCAATCCAGCCCTTTAAAAAACAAAAGAAGAAAGAAGATGGCCTGTTTAATATGGAGGTGGTATTGTTTAATGTTAGGTTGGCATTTGTAAAAGCACACACTTACGGGGAACGGCTCTTTCCAGCTGGCTCCTACTATAGAGGGTCTTATGATGGCGATGTTGAGGTTTCCACACTCTTGCTGGACCAGCTGCTCTGCCAGCGCTTTAGTGTAGGTGTATGTGTTCGGCCGCTCACCCAACAGCCTAGGTGTCATCAAAGACACCAGTTTGTCATCCATCCACCTGTCAGAAGTGAACACGTACAGGAAGTTGAAAGAAAAAGGTGGATAATCTTTCTTGAAATTTCTTTAATATATTTTGCATTAGTTTGTTATTTCTGAGCTGTATTATGGAAAATAAATTTTTATTTTTATTAGTGACAATTTTGTTTGTTCATCAATAACATATACAGGCATCTGCCGAGTGATCAGCCGAGGACAAAAAAATATATATATATAATGCTAATTCAGGTCAGGTCTTAATTATATATTATATAAATTATATAATAAGTGCTTTAAAATAATAAAAAGAATCATTCTAAAAAAAACTATATTTTTTATATAAATATTTGTTATTGGCCTCACAATTTAAGTGTAGTTTTTGTTTTATCAGTTTAAATGTTTAGCAGTTTAATAGTGACCCAAGTAATGAATATTAGGTTTATACTTTGTACCTCAATGTCGGGACAGATCCACACACTGCCACTAGATAGCGCCACAAACTCTGTTAGTTCTCGTGTCCACAGAATATACTGTAACTTTCCTTCTAATTTAGTCGAATGTTCATTCCAATGTGATAAATAAACTACTAGTTAGTCAACAACTCCAACTGTAAAAATATTAGTCCAGTTGATTTGAGTAGCCTAATATACTCTAACATTCCACCCTGAAAAAAAAAAATCATACATCAGTAGAAAGAGTTTATCACTTTCCCTTTCCTTCGGCTTAATCCCTGTTTTTAATAGTTTTAATTAACTATAAAATATATTTTTATAAATAATGTAATATCATCAAAACTTATGACACTTTCAGGTATTAAATTTGAGGTGCTAGGTTGTGGACCTGAATCAATAAAGACAAAGAATTGCAGAGAATAAAAACAAATGTTGTCCTGCAGCAGTTTTTATAATGTACTTAGAGCGCACGTGGTCGTGACATGCAAACGTGAGAGCGGAAAAAGTGCACACCAGCACATGCATTCAAAGCGATTTCATAATCTTGCATATTGTCAGCAGCTTCATCACATTACAGGAATACACAATATCATTATGTTATATACACAGTAACCTAGGTAGGTCTACAATTACATTCCTGTAAGACGTGCAGAATAAAGCAGGTTGTCTGCTCTGATGACAACAGTGGCGCCCCCAGAAAATTTTCATAGTGGTGGCCAGAAGAGGCCACACCAAATCTTGGGGTGGCACACACAACAAAAATGAATTCAGTGTAATGTTATATTTTTGTTTCTGGTAAATTAAATAATGTGATTTTAATTCATTTAATTAATTAGTCTTACAATATCGCAATTTATTCCTTGAAATAATTCAGCAAGTACATGTGCGAACCAAATAAAAATCAATATTTAGTTTAAAAACACTTCTCATATATAGAAATAACTTTTCAGTTATTTTTCACATACATTTATTGTACAGCATACAGTATATGCCATGTCTAAAATGAATTGAGATTAATGAGTTAAATAATAAAACTGAACAAAAGGCATTACTATATATATATATATATATATATATATATATATATATATATATATATATATATACACACACACACACACACACACACACTCACTATACAGACCCTAATAATATAATTTATCTATATCCCTTTTTGAGCCACTTTATTAATGCAGCTTCTTCTATTGATGTACCTTAAATTAAATATTACATAGCCATTACTGTCTATTGAAGGTGTGTGTGTGTGTGTGTGTGTGTGTGTGTGTGTGTGTGCGCGTGCTGTCAATAACGATCAGGGAGGGCAGTGGTGGTTCTAGTTTAGATGACACCCTGGGCGAACCACCCCATATACCCACCCTCCTTAAATAGGTACATTTATTTTTCAATAAATATAAAAATTTACTTATATTTATTCTAAATAAATACAATAAATGTTAATATTATTACACAATAATTTTTCTAAATAAATAACAGACATCAATCCTAAATGTTACTGGACAATGTAACACAGTGATATGCTAAGATCACTTAGGGAACCTTTTGCATGAATATTAGTTATGACAATTTTATAGAATACAAAAATTTGTGTTTTATAGAATTATCTGTGGTCTTAGACCTGAATTATGGCCGAGAAATAATGTTATGAAGTCTTACCTCCCTGACTCTTTATCCCTCCTTTCTGCTTTATAGACATGCTTGGTGAAAGTATCATCATCATATTATATAAACTTTAGTTTTGTCGACTTTCAAAACTAAACACCTGACACCTCTTCACAAAAGGCTTACTCCGGTTTCACGGCGCATGAGCGGCGCGTTTTTTATCATCGTGCATGTAAACAACCGGGATTCACACACGAGCGAGTGAGCAACGCGGGAATGGTTTTCTGCGCGCACGCGTCAGTTTGCTTTCACCAGCGTTGTTTCGGTTGCACATAGAGAACGCGTGCAAAAGATGTGAACGGCCCTTATTGTCTTTATTCTGGGATTGCCACTCTAAGTTAACACACGTGCATAAAGTAAATGGTATCCCAATGCCTTTACTAGAGGATGTTTTTGTTGCACCATCTCCACGTGCCGCCCCCAGCAAGATACTTGCGACGCACCCTGGTATTTGGCATATTGCCCAAATCTGACACTGGGGAAGAGAGAGACAGTGTATCAGCTACGTTAGTGGCACCAACAATAATTTAGTTGCTGCATGTTATTTATTTATCTATAGAAACATTGGGAATTTACATAAGTACATTTAAGTTAATAATATCAACAGCAAAATCATATTGGGGTGGCCACAGGGGTGGCCAGAGTTATATATATATATATTTTTACAAAAAGCATAAAATAAATCTGAATTAAAAATGAAAAAGCAGAATTTAGTAGCCCCCAAAATTTTGTTATTATAAGTACTATTATTAATAATAATTTTAATACTAATACTACTATAAAAATTATGATAATACTGTACCGTTCATACATTACGGTTGCCATTCATGTACACAATAACATTTATATTAAAATATTTATTGTATTATTATTAATCGTATCAGTAGAACACTATTGGTAGTATTCTTAACACTAACTGTATAATAATACATTAATTAAAAAGGATATAGCATTATTATTAATAGTATAAGGAAAATATTATTAGCAGTGTTCCTAACACTTCCTGTATAATAATAACATACTATATAATCAAAATGGATAGAATAGTTAGCATTAACATGAACACTTGCATATAGTATTCATTCGAAATATGATTAATTATTAACACTAATAAGAATTTTATTATTATTATATCCAGATATGGTAAAAGTTGATTATATCCTATTTTAACCATGATCTGATGTTTACAGACCTAGTTTTGATTGAGCAATTCTATCCATGTTATCCACATTATGGATATAAGAGGGCCTTATTTTAATGCCATGAATTTAAGAGTAGCTTAAAAGTAGCTTGCCCCTATGCCCTTTCCAACATTAAAGCAAGTTTATTACACAGCTGTCTGGAATTAATAATTCTGATTGGTCAGTTGCAACATTCCAAGGCATGTTATTCTCAGATAACAACCCCTGAAATTAATAACACAGGCTCATTCAGGTACTTTAAATCATCTTGATCATAAGTGATTGCTCACATCCATATAAGCACATACACATCCATCTTTTTATACTTGTCATATACTTGTTTGGCGCCATCTTGTGACTGGACAAGATGTGGGTTAGTGTATATTCCAGTCAGCCGTTTTCCTTTTTATTTTACATTATGTGGCAAGGATAAGCGGGATAAAGTGCATTCAGGTGGTTGCTTTCGCAAAATAAAGCCCTTCACACTGCCAGTTGGTTTCGTTCCTAATACAAATATCTGAAAATTCTGAAATCAAGAAGCATTTTCTAGACAAGCAAAACATTATCTTGTTTTCAGAAATATTAAGACAAAATTTAAAGGAGTTTTTCCTAACTTAAAATAATCTGCCAATAAGGTAAGCAAAATAAGTCTCCGCTTTAAAATAAGGTCAATTTGCTTGTTTTATGGAAAAAAAATGTTCTTAATTTTAACTTATTATTGCTAAACACAATACAATATGTTTTGTTTGTTCAATAAATGCTTCTTGACTGATGAATTTTCAGATTTTTGGACTAGAAACAAGACAACAACTGCGAAATCTGCATTAAAAACTACTTGGATGTATAACATCCCTTACAAGTGGATGTAATATACACTAATATAAGAAATCTGCATGCCAAGTATAAAATCAGTTCTTTACATATTCATAATGGGACATAATTTAAAGACAACACTGTAAAAAAAATGCTGGATCCCAAACAATCAATTTGTGTTATGAAGGAATCAAGTTAACTTATTAGCTTTTAGAAATTTAAGTTGATTAAACATAAAACAATTAAGCTGTCCCCCAAAAAACCCTCAAGAATTTTGTTGTTTCAGCTCATTTTAAATAAGTTGCTTAAATAAGTAAATTTTTTGTAGTGAAGTCAGTTTTGTAAAGACATTACGCTAAGGCTTACTCAAGAGTGTCTATAAGCTTCCTGTAGTCAACGGGCGGTGGATAAACCACCTCTTCGATGAGCTCTCGGTCACAGTTGGCATAGGCTGTGGACACGTGGATAAACACCTCCAAATGCTTCATTCTGTGAGCCAGGCTGACCATCTTCTGTGTGGCCAACACATTCAACTGCATGGCATCTCTGTAAAGAAACAAACACTTAACTGTAGTGACACCACAGAAGCACGAGCACATCTGATCAATGTGAAGATTAACCCGCTGCTATTTCATACTAAACCACCCAACCGGAAAACACATGATCTAATCAGGATGATTTGCAATAACTAATGGTTTAACTTAAGGAGTTGTGCAAATAAGGTTATATTAGGCAAATGTGGATTGTAAATGACATGAAGTATACAGTTTAGGTCTCTGTGATGCAGCAATGCATCATGGAAGTGTTTAAATGAGTTCAGGTGAGGAATGACTGAATGGTTTTGAGGTGTGTGTCCAAGATTAACCTTAAAATAACATTAAGGGATAGCATTCATTCTATTATTCAGAAAACTATTATTATTTTTTATTGAAAATAAAAATACATTTGCTTTTGCATTAGTAATTATATTATTAATAGCATTAACAATAATTTGATTATAGTTGTAATTAATTTATAGCATGAATGAATTTAGTTTAATAAATATAAAGTAGTCATTTATAGCAACAAATTTTACAAAACCAATAATTAAGGCTTTAATAGAAAATTATAATTTATTACAGTATTAAAAATATAAATGCTAAGGATATAGATAATATTAGTGAAAAATTATATTAGATTATTATTTACTGCTGCTAATTTTGAACAAATATATGAAGTACTTTAAAAAACAATATGATAATAATACATGATAAAACATCATTTTTCACTAATATTATGTATATGATTAGCAGGAATAAGAAAAAAACCTCTGTTAATATTAATAATAAATCTTTATTATTGGTTTATCATTACTGTAATAAATTGAAATGTTATATTAAAACCTTCACTTTTTTAAAATATTGTAAAATTAGTTGCTGCAAATTTTGAACAAATATATATATATATATATATATATAGTACTTTAATTACAACAATATAATATTAATTACTAATTATATGAATAACATTATACTTATTTTATGCTTATTTTACATCAATAATTATAATAATAATGTATAATCTGTAAATATAAAATAGTTTTAATATCATACAAAATGTCTGTACAATAATAATGAAAACAATAAATGTATCATTATTGCCAATGACACATTTACCATATCACTAATAATTGCATACTTATAACAATGACTTATAATTGTATAATAAAATATATAATAATATAATAATATATAATAATATAATATATACATAACAGTAATAAGAAAGATTACAATGAATACATACAGTATTATTACTATTAGCAATATTTCTTAAAACATTATAAATATGACATAAAAACAAATATATTAACAACAACACCAACAATCTGATTACAGTATGTTCTTTATGAATACTTTTAATATTATTTTAAATGAAAGTCAATAAAATTAAACCACTAATTAAAATTATTAATTAACCAAAATAAATATACCACAATAAATTGCAACATTCCAACACAATAGCCGGTTTTAAAGTATAAAGTAAAGATATGACTAAAGTAGAGTTTTTTTTACAAAAAAAAACAAAAACATATTTCCTGTAATACAGATTTGTAAATAATCCACATTATCTGGACTCTCAGCTCTAAAAGTCTTACTTCAGCGGCTCATTAAAGCGGATGGTGGCGGCACAGTGAAACACGACATTAATGCAGCCCGTGAGGGTCTCCTGGTCTTCAGCACTCAGGTCCAGATTGGGCTGTGTCAGGTCACTGTTGATGGCCACGATCTTCCCCGCGAAATCCGGCTGATCCTCTCGCAGTCTGTCGAAAAGCTGAAACATTCATAGATTTTCAGCTTTATCAGCTCACATGCAAACAACTTGCATAGTAATAATTTACAGCGAAATACTGTACACTACCTGACAATAGTCTTGTAGCTTATACAAGTTTTAGAAACAACAAATAACTTGACTTATAGTTGATCATTTGGTATCAGAAGTGTCTTATATGAAAGGCAAAGACCTAGATTACGCTTATTTTATCAAAATAAAATATGAACATGCCTTGATTTTTAATTATTTAATTAGGACAGTAATGTCTGACTTTGCTTAGACACAAGTCTTGTCACTTAACAGAAATAATGTACAGAACAGAATATAAAGTCATGCTGCAGTGGAGAAAGAATTAATATTGTGTCTGACTTCCATGAGCTTGGAGGACTGCATCTATACATCTCTGCAATGACTTAAATAACTTACTAATAAAGTCATTTGGAATGGCAGAGTTGCAGAATACATCAAGATTCTTTGGATTCATCTTCAACGCCTTCTTCTTTATTTTACCTCAGACATGCTCAATGATGTTCATATCTGGTGACCAGGCTGGCTAATCCTAAAGCAGCTTGACCTTCTTTGCTTTCAGGAACTTTAATGTGAAGGCTGAAGTATGAGAAGGAGCGCTATCCTGCTGAAGAATTTGCCCTGTCTTGTGGTTGGTAATGTAATGGGCAGCACAAATGTCTTGATACCTCAGACTGTTGATGTTGCCATCCACTCTACAGATCTCTTGCATGCCCCCATACTGAATGTAACCCCAAACCATGATTTTTCCTTCACCAAGTTTGACTGATTTCTGTAAGAATTGGGTTCTAATAGTTCTTCTGCAGTATTTGTGATGATTGGGATGCAGTTTAACAGATGATTTATAAGAAATATCTACCTTCTGCCACTTTTCCAAAATGATCAACTAGAAATCAAGTTATTGATAAAAAGACTTTTGTCAGGTAGTGTATTTGGAAAGATTTCACTAATTTGGTCTGATTTGAGATCATTCTCAGTGTAAATCATGCATAAAATGTAATAGACTATTTGAAACCATAGATAAATGCATAAAAGCAAAGCAAAGAAAATGAAATTTACAGAGCTTTATGGCTTTCTGGGTAGCCAAACAGTATTCATGTAAAGAAATTGAATAATTATATAAAACACTGTATAATCTTCATTGTAAATAGTTAAATAAAATAAATCTTTGTTAAACTTACAAAAGGAGCAATTTCTTGTGCCTAAAAGCAAAGTCACATGTTTAAACTTGCAGATGATAAACATTTACAATGGATAAACTCCACAAAATGTCATGTTTTTAAAATTGCTCAAATACAGTCCAAACATATAAACTCAACATTGTATATCCTGCGATGTTACTATCGAGGACACGCACATTGTGATATTGATTCTGAAACGATATATTGTGCAGCCCTAATTATTTTAGTTTTTTTATATTATTATTTTTAATATATCTGCATTAAACCACCTTGTAATTTGCAGTTGCACCCTGACCACAATCAAATACCACAGACTGGCCAATGAATGCAACATGCAGTACATTACTGTGAAACCATGTGATCAAGGTTTGGAAGAAATGCCCAGCTGTGCTCATATTAATGTTGTGTAAAAAGCAAACATTTACGAGCGGGCGATAATATTTATCTGCGTGTAATCTAGAATGATCAAAGCAGGCTGAATGTCAAAGTCGCTGCAAATCTGCATCAGTGATCTGAATTGTGCATCTGTGGCTTAGTCAGAAATTCAGCGAGCCCTAGTTTGAAACATTAAGAAAGCAAATACAAAATCTAGCTTAGACTAGATTTATAGCTGACATTGTGTGTTTCCTAAAATGCAAGTAAATGGCTACCAGCACTTTAAAAACAAACAAAAATATTTTGCCACAATATAGAGTCAGGATTATGGTTGACCAGGCTCCACAGTTCAGATACGTAGAGTAACTACAAAGGTTTACAATAATAGACTGAAGGTTTTTGTGTTTTTAGGTTCAGTGTCTGTATGAGCATTTCAAGCAAGTTTGTAGATTTAAGAAAGATTAATTGTACTTATTTATCTATACAAAGAAGATTACACAGTATTACACTGTGCACTATAGCATTTGTCTATGCCTGTTTTGTTTTATGCAGGTGCTCTAGAAAATCAGCCCAAAAAGTTTTATATCTTATATTCAAAATCGCAATATATATTGAAGAAAAACAAAATACACACACAATAACATATTTATTATTATATATTATATTATTATTATTATACACAATAATATATTATATATATATATATATATATATATATATATATATATTACTGTATTTGTGTATGTGTGTGTGTTTGCCTTTTGACTCTAATGTTGTGTTCACACCAGACACCGAAGGTACAACAAGCGCGAGTGACTTACATGTTAAGTCAATGCAAACGCGCAAATAGACATCCTGCATCGCTATACGCGCAAATTATGCTGCGCAGATGACGCGAATGGCACGGTGCGAATGGCGTGATATGTGCGAATGGTGCGATATGCACTAATGGTGTTATTAATCGTTTGACCAAATTAATCGTTTTGAGCATACACATGAACAATATTATTTTCTTAATAAAATCCATGTTAGCCATTTAGCAACGAAGCAAGAATCACTGGGCAGAGAGAAGCCCTGCCTATCACACAAATCCGCGTCTGTTTTGAAGTGAATTTGACGGGCGAATGAAGTGGATTTGAAGTGCGAATGAAGCAGGGTTTGATGCACGAATGAAGCGTGTAAACTCCAATGTTCACGTGGCTATTTATGCGCGAATAGTACGATTTTATCCGCACGTTCCGTGTTTGGTGTGAACACAGCATAAAAGTATTCTTTCTTTATTGGTCTTACTGAAAAAAAAGTAATCTATGTAATCTAGGAAAAAAATGCTTTTGGAGTCTTTTCGACTCCCATTGCTGCGGAGAAACAATCCTTATCAGATTTTTGAGGAAACAAATTTAAATATGCAAATACTTGATTAAAAATTCCAAAAATAAAACAGCAGGCCTTTTCCCTTCTTCACATCCCAGGGTTTATATTTGTCAAATTTATAACTGATGTCATAAAATATATTTAAAAATAGATTACAGCTATAATAAGCGATGCAACGATTCAACTGACTCATGATTCAAAACGATTCACGATACTAATTTCAAGATACGAGTTAGTCTACATTTTTTAAATAAAATTATTTGAAACTAATTTAAGGGCGATGCGGTGGTGCAGTAGGCAGTGCTGTAGCCTCACAGCATTAAGGTCGCTGGTTTGAGCCTCGGCTGGGTCAGTTGGCGTTTCTGTGTGGAGTATGCATGTTCTCCCTGCGTTCAGGTGGGTTTCCTCTGGGTGTTCCGGATTTCCCCACAGTCCAAAGACATGCTGTACAGGTGAATTGAATAGGCTAAATTGTTCGTAGTGTATGAGTGTGAATGAATGTTTCCCAGTGATAGGTTGGGCTGAAAGGGCATCCGCTGTGTTAAAATGTGCTGGATAAGTTGGCAGTTCATTCCGCTGTGGTGACCCCAGATTAATATAGGGACTAAGCCAAAAAGACAATGAATGAATAAAACAAATAAATAAAAAGCTCTTTTATTTTTTGTCTTAAATGCTGCACATTTTTTGCTAAATAATATCTTTTCTGCCATAACTAAATTGCTACTCTAAAAACAAATTCCAAAAAAGGTAAATAAATAAAGAATAATACAAACTAAAAGACTCATTATTATAAACAAATTAAAACTGTGACTGTGCTGGGATTTTTAAAAAGAAATATCAGCATACTGTATCTACTGTATCATACTGTATAACAGTTTCTTAAGCAGTTTGTGATGCATTTTAGAAACAGGAGATAGGCCTCTGGTCTAATGCGCCACCTGGCTTGAGAAACACGTTCTCAAAGACTTATATTAAGTCATTATTTGGGTAGCACAAATATTCTGAATGCAATTGGCAGAATTCAAATGGGCCATTTTAATCTAGATTAATTTCAAGATTACAGTGAGATTAGGCTAGATTAAAGTTTTTATTTATGCCCACCTATATTAAAAGTTAACCTGCAGTAATATAATATACAGGTGATGTCTATGTGTACATGATCAATGAAGTGTATTAAGTGTTTGTGTTGTTCTTTAAGTCCTCGGACGATCAGAATCAATCCATTTCTATTCAACCACGTGACCATTAAATCGTTAATCAAAATATTAGTGTTTGTTGGAGTAAGTGCTAATACTATCATAATACAGCTGTTATCTTCATAGACATTGATCTTGGTTTTTATTCTTTAACTTTTATTCATCCAACCTCTGTCTTACAGGTCTGTGTTTGCTCACCTTACAGTTGATCATGTCAGCGATGCGAGCATCAGGAGCCTGTCCCGCTTTAGGCCGCACAAGCACATACGCGGCTTTGACACCAGGACAGGAGCGCAACAGCTTCTCCAAAAGCACTTTCCCCATAAATCCCGTGGCCCCCGTGATGAGCACATTTTTCCCCACGTAATACTCCGGAATGGTGACCATCCTGAGTGCACCTTCCCTCCTCTGTTACACCCTGAAAAACACCATCACGAGCATTAATCACACTTCAAATATGCGCAAACATTTCACAAGAAAGACCAAAACAGAGATCTGCACAGAAGCTCTAAGCCGCGGTTTGAGAAATCGTGCCGTTTCGTTAGTCTGCTGTAAATATTTCATGGAGGTCACTTCCTTCCTTTTCCCTGCCAAGATCTCACTCCACAATTACTGCATGACACTCCAGTCTTTACCCACTGGAGACTTTTTCAAAATAATGTCCACTTTACTTAAGAGGTGGTGTTGTATTACTGCACCGGTTGGTTTTGACTTGGCGGATCGATTAAAACACTTCTAAATGGCCTTTAGGGGCATTGATTGTAAAAGCTGTACAAATCACTAATTGATTGGACAAATTGAATGCATCGTAAAGCCACAAAACACACAGGTTTATTTACTCTTATCTCCTGTCTGCTGATAAGAGGCCAATAAAGACCATGCAAAGTAGATACAGGGTTAATAAGTGATAAAAGAAGAGATACTGCCAGTGTTTTCACAAACACTACTGTTCAGCACTTTTAAGGGGAAAAAATGAACAAATAAAGATAAATTCATTAAATGACAACAGATATTTGTTGCAGATCAGCTCTGTTTATGTTTCAACAATAAGAAAAATCATAATAATTCAAATAACAGCACTTTTTAACATTTCCCAAATCAGCTTGTCAGAATGGTTTCCAGTTTCTTCCTTTTTCAGCATTACAGATATATTTACAGAAATATTAATTTTTTCTAATGTTTGCAAACTAAAATGATTCAGAGATCAAGCAATCCGACTGAATTGCATTTTTTTCCAATTATAATAATTTTCCTTCAGATAAGTTTGTAGAATCCGCTGGTTTGGGTGATAGCGGCAAATATGGCTGCACGATATTGGGAGAATCTCACATTTGGATATTTTGTATTTCTGCGATATACACGCACTGGCCACTTTATTAGGTCCAACTGTTCGTTAGTGCAAATTTCTAATCAGCCAATAACATAGCAGCAACTCAATGCATTTAGGCATGTAGACATGGTCAAGACGATCTGCTGCAGTTCAAAGAGAGCATCAGAATGGAGAAAAAAGATGATTTAAGCGACTTTGAACTTGGCATGGTTGTTAGTGCCAGACAGGCTGGTTAGTGCATTTCAGAAGCTGCTGATGTAATAAGATTGTCACGCACAACCATCTTGAGGATTTTCACAAAAAGAGAAAGTACCAGTGAGCGGCAGTTCTGTGAGTGCAAATACCTTGTTGATGACAGAGGTCAGAAGAAAATGGTTAGACTCAAATAACCACTCGTTAAAACCGAGGTATGCAGAAAAGCATCTCTGAACACACAAACACGTCCAACCTTGAGGCGGACAGGCTACAGCAGCAGAAGACCACACCTGATGCCACTCCTGCCAGCCAAGAACAGAAAAACTGAGGCTACAATTCATGCAGGCTCACCAAAATTGGACAATAGAAGATTGGAAAAACGTTGCCTGGACTGATGAGTCTCGAATTCTGCTGCAGCATTCCAGAATTTGGCATCAACAACATGAAAGCATGGATCCTGCCTTCCTTGTATCAACGGTTCAGGCTGGTGGTTGTGGTGTAATGGTGTGGGGGATATTTTCTTGGCACACTTTGAGCCCATTAGTACCAGTTCAGCATCCTGTCAATGACACAGCCTACCTGTGTATTGTTGCTAACCATGTCCATCCCTTTATGACCACAGTGTACCCATTTTCTGATAGCTACTTGCGGCATCATCATCTCAGACTGGTTTCTTGAACATGACAATGAGTTCACTGTACTCAAATGGCCTCCACAGTTACAGATTTTATTCCAATAGAGCACGTTTGGGATGTGGTGGAACGAAAAATTTTGAGGAATATTTCCAGTACCTTGTTGAATCTATGCCACAAAGAATCAGTTCTGAAAAGCGAAAGGGGTACAACCCAGTACTAGTATGGTGTACATAATAAAATGGCTGGTGAGTGTATATTGCAATGCGAATACTTCTTAAATTGGGCAGAATTTTACATTTTAGATTGATTGAGGCGATTGTGTAGGGGATTGGATCTCGAAAAATTATACATAAACAACTTGCAACCATAGATAAATAAAATATAGCAAAGATAAAAGTAAATTATAGGTTTCTGGAGAGTCTAACAGTACACAGATAATTGAACTATTAACACTGCATAGTCTTTATTGTATATAATGTAACCTTTATTAAAGTAAAAACACAAACATTTCTTATGGCTGAATGTTTTAAACCACAGGTGTCAAACTCAGTTCCGAAAGGGCCGCAGCCCTGCACAGTTTAGTTCCAACCCTAATTAAACACACCTGATCAAATTAATTGAGTCCTTCAGGTTTGTTTGAAACCTACAGGTAATTCCGGCCCTCCAGGAATTGAGTTTGACACCCCTGTTTTAAACTCTGAAATGTTGAAATGTTCACACAGTAACAGGCCTTTAAGGGGTAGTTCACCCAAAAATACTCACCCTTCACTTTCGTTTATGAGTTATTAAAATATCTTCTTTTGTGTCCAACATAAAAAAGAAACTTGTAAACTTGAAAATAGTGAGTCAAGTTTAACTTTTGGGTGAACTATCTCTTTAAAAACACATGCAGATGATAAACTTTTACTTCATTATAATTCAACTCTGGATTGATAATAATCAACTTTAATTCCAACTCAGCATTGCAGATCCAGCGATGGGACTATTGCGGATGCACACATTGTGATATCGATGCTGAAATGATATATTGTGCAGTCCTAGTAGAAACAAACAATTAATTTGCATTTTGGGTAAATTTCAACAAAAGCTGATTTCACTACTTGGCAAGCTATTGCCACATAAAACAAAAGCTTTACATTAGTATTTATCTATGCATATAATCTATTATTATCTAATCTCACCATTTGATAAGAACAATTTTAAGTCTCACTTTCATTTTAATCAACATCAGAATATGATGTTTCAATCTCAGTCTGAAATATTTTCCCCCAAAATTTTCCAGCCACATCATAAAATCCTTTACTGTGAACTTATCAGGCCACTGAGAATAAAATGTTCCCTCTGGACATGTGCTGTTTTTGCAGCCTCGTTCTGTCTGCTGTTGCAGCCTCGCATTGTTTGCTGCATACCTCCGGTGCCAAGTTCCACAGCTGCAAGTAGCCCGAACACGGGTACAGTCAGTGCGCATACTGCATGACGACCAGGCTTGGGAGCTTTCCAGACTCACAGGCTATGATCTGTCTCAAAATGTCTCTTAAAAACACTTAGTCAAGTGCATAGCTTATTCCAAAGCAAGGGCAATCAGCCAATCTAGAGCTAATGGGTGCCAGTTTAATTGTAGAGGTCAGGTGGATTATTCCAGAAGGCGAGACAAGATGTTGTGCAATCTGACTTCTTTCCAAGAGCCGCTCAGCACTTCTGTGACTAAAGACCCGAAGCTGCATCTGCAGTGACACTGGCATTAAACAGCGTCTAACAACAGGAAGCACAGCAAAAAAAAAGTTCAGGCACTATGGTCAAAAGTAATCAGCCCCTATACGAAAAACTGACATTTTATGACCCCAAACACTTACTGGGCTACTGAAACTAAAGGCCAAAAGCTCTGGAGTGACACTGGGATTTATCAATAAACAACACAAGAAACTAGGGTTGTCAACTTTGGGTCTGCACCAAATCCTTAGGGTAGGGTCGATAGATTGCCATCATCTACCACAGACGGCTGATAGACATCACAATGCTGAGCCAGCATCGAGATCCTCTGCCCCACCCCCGTTGCAGCAACCCGCTCGTGAAAAATACACACTATGGGTCTACTCACACGATGTTATCCGAACCATGCCCAGGCCCATTTCCCTGATCGTTTGAGAAGTGCAAGTGTGCTGAATCGGGCTCAGGCACGGTTGGAAGAGGTGTGCCTGAGCGCGGTTCACTTGGGCTTTGGTGCGGTACGCTTGTGTGTGAGTGCAAAACGCGACTAAGCCTGAAACTAAAAGCGAGACATGACTTTTAAGGGACTGTTTCATATGGATTAATTAATCATTCTTACTGTTCAATAGGGCTGGGTAACATTCCAAAATTTTCGATACAAATACCCTGAATTCGATACCAGTTCCGAACGATACTTTTTTCGATACTTTTATTGTAAGAAATATATTTTAACAAGATTACATAACACATAATCTCAGAGAAACTTTGGTTTTATTTTTTGAGGATGTTTGTGACACTTTTCACAGCTGCCTTATCTCTAAGACCAATAAACAAAGGAACAAAAGCACAAAATAAACAAAGTGTAGTTCACACAATATATTAGTTAGCCAGCATTACTACTTTGAAGCCACTTGAATCATTATACAAACAATCCATAAAAACACTTGATAAGAAATCAGTTCAATTTCACCATTGTTCAATATTAAAAGAAATACAACCTGCTTGGTTGGGAAAATGTAATTAAATATGTACATATCTGTTTAATGTTTAAGACCCTACATAACCCGACTTCACCACCAAATCAGTTTGTGAATATTAGAACGACTGCTTACAGAACAACTAGAGGTGATGAAAGAGGGGACTGTATTATTCCTCTCAAAAAAAGTAAATTCAGTCAGTCGGTATTTTCAGTGAAAGCTGCTAATGAATGGAACTCCATCCCACCAACAATTGGAAGATCATGCACTTTTCGTTCTTTTCAGTCTCATGTTAAAAATTGGTTATTTACAAATCAGCATTGTCAGCGTTAGTACTGTATTCTTGACACATTTGTACTGTTTGTCTTTGGCTTTTTGTCCTCTTCTGCTGCCATCAGTCTGTTCTTGTTTTTTTACTTTTTAATTGTATTTTATATATGAAAATGTATTTAATGTTTAATGCTGTGCTTCTATTTTAGGTGTGACTTTTTAAACATTCTGTAAGGGGTCTACAGATTAAAAATAGCCATTCTTGGCTAATTC